CTGCCTCAGCCTCTCGAGTGCTGGGCTCACAGGCCTGCGCCACCACGCCTGGCTTTTTCTTTGTTTTGTTTTTCTCCCCAGTTCTAAGGATTGAAGCCAGGCCTTCAGAAACAGAGATTATTTTGAGACAGGGTTTTCTAAATCCCTAGATTGCCCAGGATAAACTCAAATTTGTGACCCTCGAGTCTCAGCCTTCCTCCCCAGGCCTCTCAAACAGACTGCAACTGAACTCAAGGTGAACAAGAGAAATGGACCTTGTGAGTCAAAGCCGGGTGGCTGTGGCTGGCGCCAGTGCGGGTGCCCGAGCCATCCCTGACTGGGGCCCTGGAACAGTGCTCCCCTGGAGGACTGGTCCCTGAGCCCCTCCAGTGCACCCACAGGGCTGCACCTGAGCGCTCAGGGACTCAGAAATCATGGAGAAACCTCAGGAGAACCAGGTCATCCCCGCACTCGGGAGGCTGAGGCAGGAGGATCACTGCAAGTTCAAGACCAGCCTGGGCTACACAGTGAGCTCAAGGCCAGCCAGAACTGTATACTGAGACCCTTCTCAGAAAGACAAAAGAGAAAAAAAGCGCTTTGACCCCACCTTTCTGCCTCTGGGGGCGGGTGGGGGACATCTAGCCACTCCGTGTCCTGCAGAGACAGCCCAGCAGCTGAGCAGGTCCCCTAGCTACCCAGGGGAACAATGCCAGGCAGGCACCAGGGTCTTGAGTCCCCCATACCCTAGACAGCCTGCCCTCTGGCTCGGGCCCTATTTGGGGACCCTCCCTTTGGGGCGGTTTGAGCCAGGGTCTCCCTGTGTAGTTCAGGCTGGCCTTGAGCTCGCTGAGATCCTCCCGCCTCAGCCTCCAGGTGCTGGGATGACAGGCGAGAGCCGCCGCCCGGCTGTCCTGTGGGTTTTCTTGATTGTTCCTTGAACACCCACCAGTAAATCCACGCTTTGGCTTCCTTCTGGGCACTGTGCAAAGTTAAAGCCTTGCTGGTCGGTCTCGGTGGCAAACACTTGGGACTCGGGCACTCTGGGAGGCTGAGGCGGGAGGGTGGCGAGGCCTGGCCAAGCTGTGCCGATTAGCGGCTTAGACCTCGTCTGAAAACATGAAATACGAGCTGGGCGGCCAAGTTCTCAGGTCACACTGCAGGACCACCGAACAAACAAACAGGAAAAGCTGAACTTTTTTAACAATGTCAGGAACTAAGTTAGATTATTGGCTGCTCAAAAAAAAAAGACAGGCAATAAGCAGGATGCACTCAAATTGTAAACAAACACCGGCAGGGTGTGGTGGCTGACACCTACACCGGCAGCCATCAGGAGGCCGAGGCAGGAAAGTTCAAGGCCAGCCTGGGCTACACAGCCTAGAAAGGAACAAAGAGAGCGGAGGATTTTTGATTTTTTAGCTCAAGCAAGGTTTAGGGGGAGAGTGATGCTCAGGACAAGGCCCCATAATTAGAGCCCAGACTGCCTGGAGAGAAGGGGCGGGTCAGCCACCCAGGCTATGCAAAGGCCCTGAGGCCAGGCCTGGGTTAGGGCAGAGACAGGAGGGAAGTGCAATGTGGCCTTCAGGTGACCTGAAATGGAATCCCCTGAGCCCCTGAGGCACTGTCCCTGGGGCGGTGCATGTTGCAGCCTATTTAAGAGGAGGATCAGAGAGGTTGTGAAGTCACCCAGCAGAGTCTGCTGTGGCATGGGAGCCGAGCTGGCTCTCCCAGTCGCCTCGAAGGTCAGATACCGTGGTGCGGTTCGCTTCTCCACGCTGCCGATGGATCTTGAAGACAAAGACAAGGTGGGTGGGAGCCCTGGAGGGCAGGTGGCGAGCACCGTGCTTCGGGAAGGTCATCACCTTAGTGCGCCCCCATCCCTTCCCCTGATCCTGGGCATGGACCCCAGGGGCTTTGCACTGAGCTGCATCTGCAGGTTTTTGTTTCGAAACAGGGTCTCACTTAGTCACCCAGGCTGGGCTCCAGCTTGTGACCCTCCTGCCTCAGCCTCCCAGAATGAGGATCACAGGCAGGTCTCGCGACCTAGGGCTGCCTGTCCTGCTCCCGGCTTCTCCGGGACTCAGGCTGTGCCCATGTGGCGCTGGGCTCCTCATGCACGGCAGAGGGGTCCGTGTGGGGCCCCTTGCCAGCCAAAGCGCCTGCCCCTCCTGCCCCCGCCTGTCCTCCCGCCACCTGGCCCTTTCTCTGGGGTGCTGGCCGCGGCTCAGCCTGAGCCAGCTGTGACTGGCAGGGCGCCAGGGCCGAGTCTGCAGCTTAGCAGCTCCGGGCAGGAAGCCGCCAGAGCACAGCTATCCATTCAGCAGGGCCTGGGCTGTCACCTGCCTGCCACCCAGGCCAGGATGCCAGTGAAGAGGCAGGGGAGGGCCGGGGGAGGAACAGAGGTTGTCAGTGAATCCGTCCAGGGATTGGGGTAGGACCGGAAAGTGGAGGTGGGGCAGGCAAGCTTGAGGTCCTGAAATCAATTTCCGATACCTCTACCCCGCCCCAAAAAAAGCTGGCTGGGAAGGTGACACTTAAGCAAAGACCAGAGCCCTGCTGTGGAAGTCTGGGACGGGGAGAAGAGTGTGGAGAGCGTGGGCCATGCAAATGGCCTGGGGCAGCACAGAGCTCCGAGGTGCAGCCCCTGTGGCTGGAGCAGAGGGAGGAGGGGCGCAGGGGAAGCGGGGAGGGGACAGACCGGCCCTGCAGGCTGCAGGAGGACTTGGGCTCCGTCCCCAGCCAGGTGGGAGCCCTGGAGGGCTGAGGGCAGAGGGGGGACCTTGCAGATTCAGGTGGCTGCTGTAGAGATGACAGGAAAGGGAGTGGGGATGTAAATATGGTTGGGACCAGTAATGGAGCCGGGCATGGGGACGCAGCCTGTCATCCCAGCACTCCGGGAGGGTGAGGCAGGAGGATCACAAAACTGAGCCCAGCCTGGGCTGTTTACAGGTCAGGTGAGATGTCGCCTAAGTCTTTCCCATGGCCCAGGTTGCGCTGACCCTCCTGCCTCAGCCTCCAGAGTGCTGGGATGACAGGCGTGCACCACCGGAGCCCTGATCGAGCCCAAAATTTTAAAAGGGGCTGAGATGATCCTGGGGAAACCCCTGACTCCTGAGTTTCCCTGGGGTGCTTTCACGGTCTGAACCTCTGAATTTCCCCCCTTGCAAAATGGAACGGCCGGCGGCCTGCTGACAGGGTCGGCGCTGCCCGAATGGCCCGGGGCTAATTCCCCTATCCTGGTTTCTGGTCTTGGCTGTAGGCGGAACCCGGCCCTGAGCGGTATTAGCAAACTTTTTTTTTTTTTGAGACAGGGTCTCACCTTGGAGCTCTGGCTGGCTTTGGGCTCCTAGTGACCCTCCTGCCTCAGCCTCCTGAAGGCTGGGATTGCAGGCGTGCACCGCCACGCCCTGCATGGTTTTTAATTTTGAGACAGCATCTCACTAAACTGTTAAATTGCCCCCAAGCCCAGCTCCAATGTGTGATCCTCCTGGCTCAGCCTCCCTAGTCCAAGGATTAGAGGTGATGACACACCTGCCTCTTTATAGGTGACCCTCAGGACAATTTTCTTGTGTTTTGTTGTTTCCTGTTTTTTGTTTGTTTGTTTTTTTGTTGTTTTTTGTGTGTGGGAATCGAACTCATGACCTTGTACTTACCAAACAGGTGCTCACACCTTGTTTCCTGTGTGTGTGCATATTTTTGTGTGTTTTGGGTTTTTGTTGTTTTTTTATTTTTATTATTTTTTTTTAAGACAGAGTCTCACTATGTGGTTCAGGCTGGCCTTGAGCTCACTTTGTAGCCCTGGCTGGTCTTGAATTTGCAATCCTCCTGCCTCAGCCTCCTGAGTGCTGGGATTACAGGAATGTGTTTTTTTGTTCAGGCTTTCTTTTTGTTTATCTTTTGTTTTAAGACAAAGCCTTGCTAAATTTCCCCAGGCTGTGTTCAAACTCAGAATTCTCCTGCCTCAGCCTCCCAAGCAGCTGGGATTACAGATGTGTCCCACCCCGCTTGGTTTATGGGTAGCTACAAACTTATTTATTTTTGGTGCTGGGGACTGAACTCATGACTTTGAGCTTGCCAAGCTGGAGCTTCAGCTGCTGAGCTAAATCCCCAGCCTATGGGCAGAGATTTGAATGGAAATTTAAAAAGCTCTGTTCCCAAGCTAGGTGTGGTGACCCACGCCTGTCATCCCGGCGCTCAGAGGCTGAGGCAGGAGGGTCTCTGAGTTCAAGGCCAGCCTGGCCTACACAGGGAGGCCCTGTCTCCCAAAAAGGTTGACGTGCAGTTGGTTCTTCTTGCCATTTGGGGTCTTGGGCGGGGGATGGAGCTTGTCACCCTCCTGCCTCGGCCTCCCGGGTTCTGGGATGGCAGGCCTGCGCACTTTGCCCAGCTTTCCAGGGGCATACACTGGGAAGTCGGGCTGCTTGGGGTTTCCAAGCCTCGACTGATGGGGTCCCCCCTCTCTAGGTTGTGAGTCCCTTCGGGTTCGCACCCTCCCCGGCCCAGGGGCGCCCGGCCTCCTCCAGGAAACCACGTGAGCAGAGAAGGAGGGCGCCAGCGCCCCACCAGACCCCAAAAGTTGAGAAACCCCAGGAGCGGGATGGCAAAGCCCCGGGGGCCCCCAGGCCCCGCGTGTGGTGGCCCCCACGGGCAGAGGGCAGCCAGGAGGAGCCCCTGCCCGCCCTGCTCATGTCCTGTAAGCCTGAAGCCTTGTGGCGGCCAAATGTCCACTCCAGGAGCCTCAGGGCCACTTCCGCTAACCAAAAGGTGGCAGCCCGGAGCCCCAGGAGTAAGTGTCCCTTCCTTTGGTGTGGCGGGGGGGGGGGGGGGGGGCCTCCGTGGGCCGGTCCAGGGACCCCGCTGTGACTCTCCATCTTCCCCCCATCCCGTTGCCATGGCAACAGCGTGGGAGCCAGGCCTGGTGAGTAAACACTGAGCAGCCTGGACAGCAGGACGGAGGGGCAGCTGCTGGGCTCGGGGCGCCCGAGGGCAGGGTCCCCCCGGGAGGGCACAGGAGGTCACCCCGCATGGTGGCTCCTCCGGCCACTCTGGGGAATCGGGAGCCGGGGTGGGGGGGAGCGCGGTGCCCCCTGCCCCGCTCCCCTGGGTGCCCTGGCGCCGGGGTCCCGGGTGCCCGCGGGGCCCTGGTGACTCCCGACTCCTACAAGGAGAAGGCCGAAGGCCCGGCGCTGCTGAACTTGGAGACTTCGGATGAGGACGCCCCCGATTCGCGTAAGGAGGCCACGGGGTGCGGGAGGCTGGGGGCGTTGGCAACCAGGGGTGCCCAGGTGCCCGCTCAGCCGCCCTGGTCTCTGTCAGTTACCGACTCCTGGGAGGACCTGGAAGAGGACCTCAGGCCGCACCGCACGGCCCAGGTGAGGCCCGGCCCAGCCCCACCTCCCGGGTGGGCACTGCAGGGGGAGGACCCTGCACCGTCCCCATCTGGTCCCTGTCCCCACAGGAACCCAGAGGAGCCTGCTCCTTCCTGGAGCCCCAGTGAGTGTCTGCACTGAGTGCCTGCTGGTGGGGGGGGAGCGCCTGTCTGTCTCTCTGTCCCCAGAGGTGTCGGTCTGTGTTCCTTTCTGGTCAGCACCGGGCAGTGCCCTGGAAGCAGAGTGGCACATTCACATGACCCTCATGTGAGGAGTGGTTCTGGGCACAAGGGACTGGGGAAGAGATCGTGTGAAAGACGGGCAGGTGGGAGGAGGAAGGGGCAAAATAGTTAGAGCCCTACAGGATGAGTAGGAGTTTTCTCTATTGGGCAAAAGGGAGAAGGGTGTGGTGGTGAAAGCAGAGGGGGACTATCTGGAGTGTGGTTAGAGGTTCTGCATGGGGACACAGCCTGAGAGGGAGGCTCCCTAATATCCAGAGACCGACACTGCTTTGGAGCTTGGTAGGAGGCTCTCCCGGGGCACGGGAATCCCAACCAGGCAGGGCGCCCCGAGTCCTCTCTGCTCCTCTGCAGATTCGGGAACTACAAAACTGTGCAGGACTCATGGGAACGGTGGGGCGCCACGCCCGGGCAGCCCGAGAGCCTGGCCTTGCCGTGCCGGGTGCAGAGGCTGCAGGTACTGCCCCACGGAGCCCACGTGCTGGCCACGGCCGTGAGCAGCTTCAGCCGCCACGTGTTCACCTGCGGCGTGGGCGGCCTCAAGGTGTGGCACCTGGACAACCAGGTGGCCCAGCAGAGGGTCCCGGAGAGTGACATGCACTGGCCCGTCCAGGTGAGAGGCGGCAGGAGCAGGAGGGCCCTGGGGGAGGGTGGGCACACCAGGATGCACCGCCCTGTCACTGTCCCCTCACAGACCCCGGGCGCCTACCTGCGCGCCTGCCTGCTGGCCCCCGACGGCAGCAGGCTCTTCGCGGGCGGCCACCACCTGCCGGGCGTGAGCACCTGGGACCTGAGGGCCCCGACCCTGCACCAGCCGGACCTGCTGCCCTGCGAGGGTCTCTCCTGCCAGGCTCTGGACACCAACCACCGCGGCAGCCTGGCCTTCGCCGGCTTCAGCAATGGCACCGTCAGGATCTGGGACCTCCGAGACCGGAAAGCAGTCAAGTGCGGCCCGGGGAGAGGCAGGCAGGGCCGGGAGGGGGACCCGGGAGCTCACACAGCTCGTGTTGGAGGAATTCTGGTGCCAGCCCTGATGCTGCAAGCTGTCATCCCAGCACTCAGGAGGCTGAGGCAGGAGGGTCCTGTGGGTTCAAGGCCAGGCTGGGCTACACAGAGAGACCTGCCTCCAAATAAAGAGGGCTGGGGTGCAGCCCTGAGAGCCGAGGGGGGAGGTGGCATGTCCAGGGACACGGCCCCAGTCAGAGTCACACGCTGACCTCTCTCCGGGCAGGGACCTGCCCGGCCGGCAGGGTGAGGCCAACAGCGTGGTCGTCAAGGACGACACGGTCTGGACCGGGGGCCTGAACGGCTGCCTGCGCTGCTGGGACCTGAGGGCGGCATCTCGGAAGGTCCAGAAGCACCTGTTCAAGTCTCAGGTGCGGCGCCCGCTGGGGACCCACAGTCCTCAGTCCCCATGTCCACGGGGTGGACATGTGAGACAGTCTGTGTCTCAGCCTGGGCCGGCCAGGTCCTGGACCAGGCTCGGGGTCTGACCGCGCTGCTCCCCCAGATCACAAGCATGTCACAGAGCCCCTGGGAGGACTGGCTGCTCGTGGGCCTGGCCAGTGGCCTGCACTGGCTGCAGCCCACCCTCAAGGGCCAGGCGCACCTGGCAGGCCACAAGAACGGGGCCATCCTGGACCTCAAGTTCTCCCCATACGGTAAGCGGCCACCGAGGTCCTGCCTGCCCCGGGGGACACGCCACTGTCCTGGGTCACAGCGGGTGGCCAGGGACGGGACAGGCCCTCTGGTTGGGTGTCCGGCTGTCCCCATCCTTTGTGACGTGGTCCTCTCTGTGTCCTCCAGGCCAGTGGTGGGTCAGTGTGGGCACGGACAGGATGACCACCATTCACAGCACGCCCAGCGGGACCACGGAGTTGCAGGTGTGCCAGGGTGGAGGAGGATGCTGGGGACCCTGCAGTGTCCCCCAGACGGACCCCAGGGCGGGGGAGCCGCCTGACTCTGCCCCCCGCCCTCCAGGTACCCGAAAAGGCCTGCATCACCTGCTGTGACGTGTCCGCCAACAACCGGCTGATCGTGACGGGCGCCAGGAGCCGCGCCTCGGTGTACCAGCTCACCTACTGAGGGTGTCGCCAGCCGGCTGGTTTGCATAGCGGAGGCAAACGGGCAGAGGCCTTGTGTAATAAAGCAAAAGTGAAAAGCCAGCCCTGTCCTGTGCCCTCCCTGCCCTCAGGGTTAGATGGGGCCTGAGGTCCCTCCCGAGAGTGTCTGGGGAAGCGGGAGGTGACTGCCCCCGGGCACACCGCTAACCAGGACCACGGAGTCAGGGGCCAAGGACACCACTCAGCAGCCTGCAGTGCCCAGGATGCCCCACAGGATGCCCAGCCCCGTGCACAGCAGGGACATTAAAGCTCCTGGTAGCCAGGTGTGGTGGTTCACACCTGTCATCCCAGCTCTTGGGAGGCTGAGGCGGGAGAGTCACACACAAAGCCAAGGGAAAAACGGGCAAAAAGGCCCTGTGTTCAATGCCCAGCACCACAAAAATAAATGTAACCACCCACAAACCCAGTATTTTGTGAGACAAATACACATTCATGGAAACACTGAGGTTAGAAGCTCATCTCTGCCACGTGAAGAGAAGATGTTGGGCAGTGTCCCCTGCATCCAGGTGGCCACAATGTTAGAGCAAAGGAGGTATCCAGGTCAGCCTAGCTAAATGACAAAACTGGGGATGCTTGTTACGCAGCCCGGCCTGCCTGATGCATCCGGTCCAATGATCCTCCCACTGCTGATCGGGTTGCTGAGCGGATGCCTGTGTCACCCAGGATGGATCCTTATCCCCAGTGGTCACACCAGAGGTGGCCATCCCTCAGTGACAGTGCCCAAGAAAAGTAGCCATGGCCTGGCCCCAGCCCAGCTCTGATAAATATATTTATTTCCCAGAACCCTGGGTCCATCAACCCCACTCTGCAGTGAAGGGAGGCAGGAGGTGTCAGCCGGTGAGCACAGGGGTCTCCCGTCACCCCCAGGAGCCGGCTGGGGCCTCAGTAGACCACCTCGTACACCGTAGCTTTCTTGTCTCCTGAGCCCGTCACGATGTATTTGTTATTCCTAGAGATGTCACAGCTCAAGACGGAGGAGGACTCCTTGGACTGCCAGGGGGGACAGAAGGGGGGGGTCAGGCGGGGGCCGCCCACGCAGCTCAGCCTGCTTCTAGGCTCCTCGGGCCCCTGTATTAAGTGCCCTTTCAAAAGCTGGTTACTGGGGCTGGGGGTTTAGCTCAGCGGCATAAGCACCTGCCTTGCAAGCAGGCGGTCGTGAGTTCGATCCCCGGTGCCGATAAAAATGAAAAAGACAAAAAAAAACAAAAAAAAAAACAAAAGCTGGTTACTGCTGGGCGTGGTGGCTCACGCCTGTAATCCCAGCACTCAGGATGCTGAGGTAGGAGGGTCATTGCACGTCTGAGACCAGCCTGGGCTACATAGTGAGCTCAAGGCCAGCCTGAACTGCACAGGGAGACCCTGCCTCAAAGAGAAAAAAAAATTTATTTTTGGGCACATGCCTGTCGCCTCAGTAGTCTGGGAGGCTGAGGCAGGAGCATCATGGGTTTCAGGCATGTGATTCGCAAGACCCTGCCTTAAAATTTGACTTTTTTGAGTTTGTTTTTTAGACCGGGTCTCCCTGTACACTTCAGGCTGGCCTTGGGCTCACTTTGTAGCCCAGGCTGGTCTCCAGCTTGCAATGATCCTCCTGCCTCAGCTTCCAGAGGGCTGGCATGACAGGTATACCACCACACCTGGCTTACCATCTTCAAAACTGTAAACACTGCCTCACACCCTCAGTGCATCTAACTATTTAAAGACAATCAGAATTGGGGCTGGGGATTTAGCTCAGCTGCATAAGCGCCTGCCTTGCAAGCAGGCAGGCGTGAGTTCGATCCCTGGTACCAATTAAAAAAAAAAAAAAGACCAAAAAAAAAAAAGACAATCAGAATTGCTGGTGAGGAGCTGAGATTTTGGAACACCGCCCTGCCCACGGGAACAGAAAATCTGGGGGTGACCCAGCAGTTTCCCAAAAGCCTCAACAGGGTCTTTGCAAATTTCCCCTCAGGGCATGTTCTGGAGACAGGGAAACATTAGCTCTGAAATTCATACACAGAGATGTTTCCCATCAGTCAAGGAGGAAGGAGAACCCAGTGTCCATGGGAGGTCCAGTGATGTCTACTGTGGACTGGAATATTACACTGCTAGGAAAAAGGATCGAGCTCCTGGGGATGGGGCGTGTGGGCATCTCCCGGGCTACCTGGAAGATGCTGGCTCCATATGGTGTCCTCCAGGCATTGAGCAGATTGTCCTTGCCTGTGCTCACGAACCACCGCCCTGGGGGAGGCAGCCAGCTGAGGGCCAGGGACCAGGAACCCAGGAATGTCCACCCCTGCTCTATAGTTCATTTTTTCTGAACTGAGCCCCCTTCTCAGCCCTTCTGAAATTTCCTATTTTGATACCCGCTCTTGCAAAGTTGCCCAGGCTGGACTCAAACTTGGAATCTTCCCACCTCAGCCTCCCACGCATCCAGGATGACAGGTCCACCTCCACAGCCAGCCAGGATTTGCTCTTTTGGGTGAGGCCCTGGTTTTGATCCCTAGGACGACCCACCTCCAAAATAAAAGTCAGCAGCCAGGAATGCGGTGCTCTCCTGTCACCCCAGCACCCCGGGAGGCCGAGGTGGGGAGGCTGCAAACTCGTGCTCAGCCGGGGCACCTCCGGGGCAGACCTACCACAGGAGGCGAACTTGAGGGACAGGACGCAGCTCTCGTGGAGGTGCAGCTGGTATTTTTCGGGCTTGCGGACGTGCAGGAGCTCTACACTGCTGCTCTCCATCCCCACGGCCAGCCAGTCCTGGTTGGGACAGTGGCCCAGGGAAAAAATCTAGGGCGACAAGAAAGAGATGGATCCTGGGCCTTTTGGTGACTATTTTTCTTTTTTGTGGCGCTGGGGATGGAGCCCAGGACCTGCACCTGCTAGGCAAGTGCATCCCAGCCTGTAATTTTGAGACAGTCCCTGAGTTGCCCAGGCTGGGCTTGAACTTGAGGGATTCTCCTGCCTCAGCCTCCCAAGTGGCTTGGATGGCAGCTGTGCACCTCAGCGCCTGGCTCCTGGACCTCTGGCTCCCAAGCAGTGCAGCTGGAGGGAGAGGGGGTCCCCCACTTCTCCCGCATCAGCCCCCAGAGAGAGAGGCAGCTGGCCGGGGCGGGTGAGCAGCAGGCGACCTTGTGTTGCGTCATTAATATTAATCAGAATCCCACAGGACCCCTGGGCCGCAATCCATTATCCACTCGCAGCGCTCAGCAGCCAGGCCGGGGCAGGAGGGCAGGAGAGCATGGATGGGAGGCGGCCAGGGTGGGGGCTGCCCTTAGCAGACCACGGAAGCTGGGGCAGCAGGGCTCAAGGTCACGTGGGACACCCAAGGCCTCCGGGCAAGAAGTCAGGAGACAGCTCCTGTGAGACCAGCCTGGAGTGAGGCGGTGGCTGGCTTTTTTGTTTGTAGTTGCTGGGGTTTTTCTGTTTTTTGTCTTTTTAAGACAGGGTCTCACTATGAGGTTCAGCCTGGCCTTGAGCTGTGTAGCCCAGGCTGGTCTCGAACTCACAACGATCCTCCTGCCTCAGCCTCTCGAGGGCTGGAATGACAGGTGTGCACCTCCATGCCTGGCCAATATTGCTTTTTTTCTTTTTTGGTACTAGGGATCAAATTCACAACCTCGAGCTTGCCAGGCAGGCGCTTACACCGCTGAGCTAAATCCCCGGCCAATATTGCTTTTCTGTTTTGATTTGGAATGCTCCCAAATTCTCCAGCTAAGCCACAACCTAAGCACCTCTGCCGCTCTGGGGGCGGGGCACACGCTGGGATCCCCAGAAGCAATGCAGACCCGCGGCAGAGAGGACCCAGCCCCCAGCAAGCCTTCCTGCCACACGGGAGAACTGCTGTACAAGGTGAGCCAGGAGGACAGGAAATCCGCCCAAGGGGCCCCCAGAAACGGGCACCGTCCACTCAAGCCTCGGTCTGTCCACCTGCACCTATGGTTTCATTCTGGAGGCCGAGGCAGGAAGATCGCAAGGTCAGCAGAGGCTACCGAGCAAATCTGAGGTCAGATTGGATTAGATGAAAGTTTGTCTTCAGGGAAAAAAGAAAACAAAAAACAAAAAAAAAGAAAAAGGAAAGAAACAAAATTGCCAGGCCAAAGCCATCAGCCAAAAAGATCGTCTGCAAGAAGCTAGAAGGCGTAGTGGGCACAGCCTGTACACCCAGCACAGCACTCAGGAGGCTGAGGCAGGAAGATCTCTGCAAGTTCAAGGCCAGCCTGGGCTACAACATGAGCTCAAGTTCAGCCTGAGTTGCAGAGTGAGACCCTGTCTCAAAGAGACAACAAAGTAAAAATAATAAAGACAGAGAGGGCGGTGGACAGGTAGCCTTGCCCTGCACTGGACAGGAGCACCTCGGGCAGAGCGGGGGGAGCCACCGTCCGCCAGGCCGGCAGCACCTGGGAGCTGAAGTCGTGCTGCTGCAGCTGGCGGCCCTCCCGCAGGTCCCAGCAGCGCACGGTGTTGTCCAGGCCGCCTGTCCATAGCCGGGTGCCGTAGTCCGAGATGTCGATGCAGCTGGCCCCGTCCGTGTGGCCCTGGAACTGCCTGCAGGAAGAGGCTGGCGTCCGAGCTGCATCAGGGCTGCTCGGCCGCGGTGCCCGGGGCCAGGCAGCAAGGCGGGGCCCGCCAGGGCCGGGTGTGTGTGTGTGTGTGTGTCCACACCCACCTGACCATGGTCTGGTTTTGAAGGTCCCAGACCACGATGTTGCCGTCGCTGCAGCAGGAGAAGCAGACCTTGGCGTCGGGGCTGACGGCCAGGGCGTAGCAGGCAGGGGCCGAAGAGGTCAGCTCAGCCTTGATGCGGGGCGTGGGCGCCGCCAGGTCCCAGATGGACAGGGTACTGGCCTCGCCACCCACGATGAGGCTCCGGCCGTCTGGCAGCAGCTTACAGGAACGGATGTAGTTGTCCCGATTCTGGGAGACCCCAAAGAAGGAATTTTGGCTGGGTTGGTCCTCCAGGTCAGGGCTGCAGACGCCCCACACATGGGTGCCTCCGCCTGCCTCTTAGCACCAAAGCACCCAGCCTTGGGCCTGCAGGGCCTCCCGGCCTGACTGTAAGCACCGACCAATAGGGACTACAGGCCACGCCCCCTTTTGCTACTGGTCAAACCTCTTTTACCAGGAACCCACCCCTCAGCACCGAAGTCCTGCCCCTGAGGAGCTGCAAGCCCCACCCTGACCTCACAGTTAGCACCACCCTGGATTTTATACAACCCCACCCCTTGGGCCACAAACCTCCCTTGACCTCATTATAAGCCCCGCCACTAGGGCTACACCCACTTTGCGGTTGCAGACCACGCCCTTTTCTATGTAAATCATGCCTTTTATCGTAAGTCCCGCCCCCTAGAGCTATATGCTCTGCTCTGGTTTGTAAGTTCCCCCATGGTCCATAAGCTCCGCCCCAGTTCTACTGAAAGCCCCGCCCCTCTAACCTGCACGCCCCACCCCTTAGACTATAGACCCGCCCCCAATGCCCTGCCTCTGGGACTATAGCCAGGCTCCCGAAGCCCCTCCTCTTGGGCTACGGCCACGCCCACCCTCGCCACGCCCCCTCACCAGGCAGTCCAGCTGGGCCACGGGCGTCTTGGCCCCGGGCTGGCCCACGTCCCACACCTTCACGCAGCCTTTGCCACCCGTGTACACGTGCTGCGTGGAGCCACTGATGGTGACAGCGCAGACCACCTCGCCATGCGCCAGTGTGTGCAGCTGCCGCGCGTGCCGCGGTATCCCCGCACCCACGAGCGCGTCCGAGGGAAAAGGCACGGGCTGCATCTGGCCGTCGGCGGACACGTGGAAGGAGTAGGCCCTGCGGGGCGCGGGCAGCGTGGGGACGGGGCACCGCTGGGCCTCGGCACCAGCCCAACGGTCTCCTGCCCGCTCCCTTTGGCTGAGGCCCGGGACCACGTGGCAGAGGTGGGGAGGTAAGGGAGGGGCTCTGGGGCGCAGGGGGCCTGCACATTAGGGGGCCCTGCTGAGCACAGATGTTTCTTGCCTCCCCCCAGCCCCGGAGCCAAGGCCCCTGGCTAAGCAACAGTCACTGCCACTCGGGCCAGTTATGCTTTCATCTGGGAGGCTGAGGCAGGAGGACTGCAAATTCCAGGTCAGCCTGGGCAACTGAGTGACTTATCGAGACCCTGACACAGAAAGGAAAAGCAGAAGGCCGGGCTGACTGAGCTCAGCGGGAAGGGCCTGGAGCCGAGCAGCAGCAGACTGAAACGCACACATTTCATTCCCGATGGTGCTGGCCGGCCGCGTTGCAAGGCCCAGACCCTAGTGGGGACTATGGGGACTGGACAGCAGGAGGTCCCGGGCCTGCCCACGGGAGCCTGGCCATGCCTGGACCCTGCCAGGACCTCCCCTGCCCCGCTTCTGCTGCAGGAGAGGCCTGGGCACCCCGGAAGCCCCGCGCAGGGCGGGCAGAGGCTGCAGCGTACTCACGGCTTCCCTCCGGGGACTGCGGGCAGCGAGGATGAGACGGACGAGGCTCGGAGGTGGGGATGTGACTCAAACGCCATCTGCCAGGACGCCAGAGCAGGTCCCCCAGGGCAGCACCTCTGCCCTGTCCTGCACCCCAGCCCTTCCCCCCAGAAGCAGAAGAGGTGGTCCCTGGATTTGAGAGAGCTGTGGGGGACCCCGCAGTCTCTGTCCAGCAAACCCTGAAGCCCCAGGTGGGAGGGTCCATCAGATGTTGAGATTTGGTCCAGGTCAGGGGTCTGCCAAGCGTAACCTCAGGACCCCCCAGGCCGCGGCTTGGCTCTGTAAAGGTGCCCTGCTCCTCCTCGTAACCCAGCCCCGCCCGGCACAGCTGTCCGCACACAGCCACAGGTCCCGCTTGCGTTGATGAGACCCTTGCGTCTCCTCCACCTGTGCCTGCCACACCAGGCCCCCTCCCTTGCTCCTTGCACCTGTCGTCCTGGACCCTAGGGGTCCTGCTGACCTCTGCCCTGTGTCCCTGGCCCGAGGACTCACCATGGGTGAGCGTCCATACACCACGGAGCTGCTGACCTGGGGCGACAGGTGGAGGCTGACATAGGAGCTGGGCACGGAGAGGTCCCCGTTCAGGGTGCCATGGGAGCCCAAGCTGAAGGATGTGGTGAACGGGCTGGACAGAGGCAGGGGGCTCCTCAGCGCTGAGCGAGAAGGATCAGGTCTTCAGACTGTCTGGAACCTAAGCCTGGACCTGGCTACCTTTCTGTCCATTGGTGAACTCCTACCCATCCTTCAAAACCCAAACCCAGCACTCACCAGTATCATGAATGTGTTCGAGCCTCTCATTTCCAGCATCTATGCTGGGTTCCTCTTCTCCCAGCCCCCCAATCATCCCTAGCTGAGAATCTGAGGGGTTTGAATCATTTCCCCAAATCAGGGTCTCACCCAGGCTGTCTGTGGAGGGGGCCGGCTTGGCCGCCAGCTGACAGAGGTGAGTGGCAGAGCTGGGCCCAGGGGTGGACGTGTCCTGGGGTGGGGAGGAATCGCAGGACTTAGAAGCAGGAGGGCCGGTGGGAAGGTCGCTCTGCAAAGAAGAGGCAGGGCTGATAGGCCCCCGGGTGTTGGGAGCCGCGGCCTACACCGGTCGCCTTACTTGGCGGACGTAGGGCCTGTGGGTGGGAGCGGAGCCTGAGCTAGATTGCCCCTCCCATCGAGTGAGTCAAGTTGGCGCCTGCTTCCTGCCCCCTGATTGCGCTGGCGACTTAAACAACCCGCTCTGTAAGATAGTCTGCCTAGCAACAACTGATGTTAGCCAATCAGCCCGCATCGGGCGCTTTGAACTGATTGGCTACTGTTGCCCTATAAAAGTGAATGCCTCTCCCGCCACGAGAAGAAGCACAGAGAGAGATAGAGAAAGTCCACCGGCGAGAAAGGGCTGGTGGCAGAGAGGAGGCCTCGCGGGGCCCACGCGGAGATAAATAAAGGCAAGATTGCACACCGCCAGACTTTGTCATGTGTCTTTCCTGCCGGCCGGGAGCGACCTCGACATTTGGTGACCCGCACGGGGACTGATCAACCCCGAGACACGGCGGTGGTGTGCAACGCTCCAGCGTGGTGCTGCCGGACAGGTGAGTTGGGGATAAGCCTGGGCTCTGGGTGGCGCGCACCTACAGGGCTTTTAGACTCCCCTCAGGCTCACGCGTAGGTGACGGGTTCTTTAAGTCACACGCGGTGAGTAACAGCCCTTAGAGGTTAGAGATGGGTAATTTACCGAGCGCGGAGGCGCGGCCCTTGGTAAAGGCCCTTAGGAAGCTTTTAAAAGCTAGAGACCTCAGGGTAGGTCAAAAAACACTAGAACTATTCATAGCAGAGGTAGATAGGGTGGCTCCCTGGTTTTTACCCACGGGGCATTTAGACCTGCCGTCATGGGAGAAGTTAGGCGGGGACCTCGCCTCGGCGGAATTGGGAGGCGATATTTCGCCGGCTATTCGCCCCCTGTGGGAAATGATACATGCGTGCCTTGACTCCTATGCTGAGTTGCGCCGTGAATTGGAATTGTGTGCGTGCGCCGCCCGGGAAAAGCAGAGAGAGGAGAAAGGGCCCCCGAGCGCTCTCTGGCGGGGAGGAGATAGAGAGCCATCCGCTCCGCCCTGGAGCTCTTTTCCAGAAGCGGCTCCCCGCCCAGAGGCCGCTACAGGGAACCCTCCCTTCTCTCAGCCGGCACAGGAAGTGACGCCCCGTTCCACTCTGTCGCGACCGCCGTCCTATGATTTTCATGGGCGGCTACTCTGCCGAGCAGGCTGAGAAAAACGCCGGTTGAGGAAACGGGGGCTGGGGATTTAGCTCAGCGGCATAAGCGCCTGCCTTGTAAGCAGGCAATCGCGAGTTCGATCCCTGGTACCGATAAAAAAAAAAAAAAAAAAACGAAAAAGACCAAAAATAAAAAAAAATAAAAAATAAAAAACAAAAAGGGGGAGTAAGCCAAGGCCTGCCTCCAAAGGCGCGGTTATCTATGGCATGACAATGGATGGGCCCGGATCCGGTGGTTAGCTGGAACCGAGGCGCGGTTTGTGTTTTTCTGCAGGAATCGGGACGAGAACCACTGTGGGTCCCAGAGAGGTTGCCATGCGACAAGTCCCTCGACTGAAGATCAGGCCTGTTCCACCAGAGGCCAACCGCAGACCCAACAACAAGCTGAGCCCTAAAAGAACTGCAGGACAATCCCTTTTTGGGGAGCCTGGAATGGCTTGCTCCCCTATGTTTTACCATTGTTAGGTCCCCTGTGCTCCTTGCCTCTGCTCTTACTTGTAGGACCATTCTTGCTCCGATGGGTTACATCATTTATTAATGGGCGCCTTGCGGCGGCCCGGCGTCAAGTACGCCTGGTTGCCCATGCGGCCCTGGCAGCAGCCCGTGATGGGCACAATGACCCTCAGGCTTACGCATGGCTCGCTCGACTGGCCTACGACCGGGTCTAGGTGTGGCGGGTCTTCCGCACTCCTTCCCTATTGACACCACACAGCAGGGTAGGTGAGTCAATGACGGGTAAGAGCGTGCCTCCCCAGCACGACTCGACCTAAGCCAGGCCCTACCCCATGGCGCACGAAAGCCGCTGGATTACTAGAATCTGCCCAGATCTAGATGCCTCTCCGAGGGGATCACACGGAGGGGCATGAGTGCATGCCTATGTGCATCCAGGTTCCGTCCAGTTCACTCCTGGCCCTGGAAAAAGGACGAGGGTCTCAAGGCCTTGGCGGACCCAGGGATGGCCGACCAGGGTCCAAGCCAAGGGCCTACGGTGGGCCTCAACACAGGGCATAAGCCTCTGCACTCGATCCAGGGCGGGCTGCGATGCATACATTCATTCAAAGTAAATAAAATAGGGGGAGATGTTGGGAGCCGCGGCCGACACCGGTCGCCTTACTTGGCGGACGTAGGGCCTGTGGGTGGGAGCGGAGCCTGAGCTAGATTGCCCCTCCCATCGAGTGAGCCAAGTTGGCGCCTGCTTCCTGCCCCCTGATTGCGCTGGCGACTTAAACAACCCGCTCTGTAAGATAGTCTGCCTAGCAACAGCTGATGTTAGCCAGTCAGCCCGCATCGCGCGCTTTAAACTGATTGGCCACTGTCACCCTATAAAAGTGAATGCCTCTCCCGCCACGAGAAGAAGCACAGAGAGAGATAGAGAAAGTCCACCGGCGAGAAAGGGCTGGTGGCAGAGAGGAGGCCTCGCGGGGCCCACGCGGAGATAAATAAAGGCAAGATTGCACACCGCCAGACTTTGTCGTGTGTCTTTCCTGCCGGCCGGGAGCGACCTCGACACCCGGGGACCCTGTGGCCCGAGGACCTGGACAGAACCTGAATGGGAGAGAACAGCGCATGGCAGTTCCCCGGGAGGGGTGCGCAGGTGGGCGCAGCACATGTACATGGAGGTCTGCGCACTCCAGGGGTATTCCTGGCAGTGGGGCTTTTGCCATCACCTATTTTACAAAACGTGAATGTCCACCGAGCCTCACACAGCAGGGTCTGGGGCTCCCTCAGGGGACCCTCCCGCCTCTGCCTCCTGCGTGCTTAGACGACACGTGTATACCACCACACCCAGCCTCCCCCTTTATTTTTGAGGCAGGGACTTGCTGAGGTGCTAAATTGCCTAGGCTGGGCTTGCATGGTGGCGATCCTCCTGCCTCGGCCTCCTGGGTCACTGGTTCTGCACCCCTGAGCCGGGCTTTATCTGGGTCCTTTTGGAGGAGGACTTGGAAACCAAGGCGGGGCACGCAGTGAGCCCTTGGCTGTAGGAGTCTGGGGCACCCTGGGTGTTCCTCATCCCCACAGGAGGAGCCTGAGGGAAAGGGGGGGCCAGCCAGACCCCGCTCTGGGCTGCACCCCCCCAGTTCTTCCTACTTTACAGAATTCTGCATCACAGCCAGGCATGTGGCACCTGTCCATGATCCCAGCACTCTGGGAAGCTGAGGCAGGAGGACCGCCAGTCCCAACCCAGTCTGGACAATTTAGGAACTGAGTGAGACCACGTCTCAAAAAGTAACAAATAAAACGGGCTGGGAATGGAGCCCAGTGCGAAGGCCCTGGCTGTGTCCCCTTTGTGGGTGAGGGTGGGGAGTGTGGGGGCTTTGTATCCTGTCTGCGTCCAATTCGTGGCAGGTGGGGTCTGAGAGGTCACTTGGGGGCTCCTGGAGAAGGACCTGCTCCGACCCTCCCACACAAACCCTTAAAGTTTCCCTGGAGGTGGAGGGAGGAGGGCACTTAAGATAGAGTAGGAGCCCCAACCTCCTGCGGTTGCCATGGCAACCTGTTGGGAGGGGAGGCCTAGAAACCGACAATCTCACAGGGGCAAGTGCAGGGCAGGGGTCTGGGGAAGATTTGGGGAGGGAGTAACCCCGGAAACAGCTAAAGCGCGGGGCATGCTGGGAGAGACTTGGTGATAAACTCCCCCCCTTCCCGCTCCCAGGGCCCCGGGCCCTCAGCGCCTCTGGTTAACCCCGCTGGCCGCCAGGGCTCGGTGCGCTTTCCTATTTCCTGCTGAAGCCCTGGCTTCCCATGTAAGGTGGGGATTTGCTCCTCGTATTTATTTTCCTGGCTTAGTCAGAAAGTTGCTATTTAATATTTACTGAGGTTCAACCACAGGAGTCTGCGGGAGAAATCAGGGGGCCGCAGGGAATGGGGCTCCTATGGGGTCCCCGGGGGAGCCCGCGCCCCTCACCCCAGCACTCTGGGAGGCTGAGGCCCCCTGGCTCCAAATAGGACCTAAAAAGAGGTGGGGGTGGCTCAGCGCAGAGGCCCTGGGTTCGATCCCCAGGACCCCAAAAAGAAAAGCAAACCCACTCAGACCTCAGGAGGGAGGCAGGGTGTCAGGCCCCTGCCCGACCCTTACCAGGAGCAGCTCTTTGGCTCTGGGGACCGGCGAGCCCAGGCCGGAGGCCAAGGAGGCCGGGCTGTCCCCGAGGTCCCGCCGGGCGGGGACACAGACGGGGGCCTTTCCGCAGGGCGTGCTGGCCGGGCTGGGCGGCTCCGAGGGCTGGTCCTGGGCGAGAGCGGGCAGGGTGCAGGGGTGAAGGCCGAGCCCCGGTGCACAGGCACCCCACTCCCGGGGCTCCCCCCCCCCCCGGGGAGGAGAGGACGTCCACCCCGGACTCACCTCGTCCACCACCAGGTTATAGTCGCTCTTGTCTTCCTCGCTTTCCTGGGGGCGCAGGGGGTCACAGGGGGGTCACAGGGAGGCAGGGCTCAGCCTGGCCACGCCCCCACCCCGCCTCTCCTCCCAAGGGACCCCCGTGCAGGGGTGCCCAGCGGGCAGGGTGGTGTGAGCCCCGGGTGTGCTGAGCTGACTTCGGGGGACGTCTGGTTTGGCGGGAAACCAAGAACAGAGCCAGCGCAGCCTGCGCTCTGAAACCCACATCTGCCCGCTAGCTGGTCCCCCCCTCCTTCCTGCCTGTGCCATTTATTTTGTGTTTTTGTTTTTTTCTAAAGAAAAACCCAGCGCCTACACCCAGAGCTCTGTCTCAGGTCCTTCTTATTTTTTTATTCTTATTTTAAAGCATGGTCTTGCTTAGCTGCTAAGTTGCACAGGCTGGGCTGGAACTTGGAACCCTCCTGCTTCAGCCTCCCACGGCCCGGGAAGAAGGGCATGCACTGTGCCTAACCCCAGGCCCAGTGTTTTGCACACAGGGCCAGGCAAGTGGTCTGCACTACACTGCACCCCAACCCGATTCGCCTTTAATCTAAATTAGTTGCCACCACTTCTGGAAGAATCAGGTTTTTTTGTTTGTTGTACCGAGACTTGAACTCAGGACCTCGCGCTTGCCAGGCAGGCGCTTGTGCTGCTCAGCTACAGGCCGGCCCTGCTGCCACTTCTAAACCAACCAAGAAAGGACACCGGTGTCTCTGCAGCTGGGACCAGGCAGCAGCCAGCCCTGCAACAGGGATGCAGTCCCCAGGTGTCCCCGGCCCCGCCTGCAGCCTGAGCCCTAGGGACTCAAATCTGGGGTCATACAGGGACACTGGTTTTGGAGAGGCAGGCACCCCCGGGGTTCTCAGGGGGAGGGAACTAGGGAAGGGACCCCGGGGCTGCTGAGGCTCAGGGCAGCCAGAGTCCCGGTGGCCACACGGGGCCTCTGGGATTGGTCAGTGCGCCGTGAGCCTGGGGAGCTACAGGAGCCTTTGTGAGAGGCTCAGCACAGCCGGGCGCTGGAGGCCCAGGGCCAGGTCAGTGCTGATCTGGGCTGCAGTAGCCGCCCTGGCCCTGCTCCCCCAACTCACATAAGGTCCCGCCAGGTCCTTGTCCTCGGCTCTCGGCTTCCCGATGCCCCCAGGGCCACCGGGCCGCTCCTCCTCCACCAGACTCTCGGGGGGCGAGGGGGACCCGCTCTGCAGGGAGGCAGGGCCAGGCGGGAGGCGGCGTCAGGGCCCTGGGCAGCTGAGGCGAAGGACTCAAACTGGCCCACTGCACAGCCCTCTGGAGGGCGGGAGCCAGGGAGCTCCCAACCCCGGCCGCCCAGGGAGACGCCGGGCAGCTCAGCCTACGGCTGTGGGGACAGCCAGGCTGGAGGTCCAGAGCCTCTGTGCCACACCCCAGTGCGATTTTCATTTCTGTACTTTTCAAAACGATCTTGCTACGTGGCTTAGCCCAGGCTGAGCCAGAATTTAAGGCGATCCTCCTGCCTCAGCCTCCCCAAATGCTGGGATATCAGGGTAACCACCATGCCCAGCTTCTGGCTTGAAAGGTTTACAGAAAGCTCGAGGGGTACAGAACTCTGTCCCATAGAGGGGTCCTGAGCCATACAGCTTGAAAATGGGGGGGGGGGGGCATCCTGAGGCCCTCTGGACCGAGAGCAACCCAGAATTCATGGCACCCCTCGACTTACCGGGCTCAGGCCGCGCTCCACTGGCAGGTGGCGGGGTAGGGGGCAAAGAAACAGAAGGGAATCAGGGCTTTATGTTCCGGGGTGCGGGTGGAGGGTTCGTTCAGCCCTCTGCGGTTTACTATTTTACATTTTTTCTCTTTGACACAGGATCCCACCTCGTCGCTCAGGCTGGCCCTGAACCCCTGGCGACCCTCCTGCCTCAGCCGCCCGAGTGCTGGGACGACAGGCGCCACCACGCCTGGCTCCCTCTCAGAAGCTCCTCATCCCCCCTGAACCTCTACAGTGCAGCGTCTCTTCCTGGCCCGTTTCAGACAGATACCCAGAGAGGGCCAGGGCTCTGCCCGAGGACACAGAGCAGGGGGCGTCGGGGTGAGCCCCGTGGTCCCCTCCCATCCCCCTCTGCGCCAGGCTCCCCGCTCACCTCGGGATCCCTCGGGCTCCACGCCCACGCGATCCTCCTTGGCGGCCGCCACCAGCTGGGCCTGCGCAGCCAATGCTCCGGACAGGGTGAGCAGCCCTGTGGCACTGCCAGCCACCAGCCCAGCCGGGCGAGGGGTGAGGGGTACAGGGGGGGCGTGGTGGGACAGGGGCTGGAGCTGCTGCTGCTGGAGGAGGGGACGAGGATGGGCCAGGGGCGGCGGGTCCCCCCCCCCCCCCCGCCCTCCACCCCTGCACCCCAAAGCCAGGACGGGGTGGCAGCGTCCCCACAGCGGGGCCCACAGGAGACTCACCCCGATGAGGCTGTTCAGCTCCCCGACTGTGACCTGCTTCGCCCGCTCCACGGCCTGCAGGACCTGCTGCTGGTGCTGGGGGAAGGCGGCAGCGAGGGGCTCCCTGGTGTCCCCCGCCCGGCCCACACCCCAGCCCGGCTGCTCACCCCATTCCCGCCTGCCATTTTTGTTTTAATCTGATTTCTGCAGCCCAATTCTTTTTTTTAAATTTATTTTTATTTCGAGGTAGGGTCTGGCTAAGTGGTCCAGGCTAGCCTTGAATTTAAGATCCTCCTGCCTCGGCCTCCCAAACAGCTGGCATGACTTCCTTGTGTCCTTTCTCCCTTTTTAAATGCTGAAATCATCACACAGAAAAAGAGCAACACACATATCAGGACGGATCTAGCTAATAATCACAAACAGAGGCCTTGCTGCCACTGGGTACGGGCTGGCGGATGCTCTGTGGGGCATCCTGGGCCCGGCGGGAGGCGGGATGCTAAACTCTGTGCCAGGTGTAGGGACTGTGACAAATATCCCCAGGAAAGGGCCTCGGCTACCAATTAGCACCTACGTGCCAGCGCAGGGCCAGGGCAGGGCCTCGCCAGTGGGGGGTGGGGGTGGGGGTGGGGGTGGTCCTCCCCTCCCCCACGCCGCCCCTCCCCCACCTCCTGGAAGCTGTGCCCAGCCCGGAGCTTTCTGAACTGTCTACTTTTGGGCCGCCTCTGCCCTTGCCGACTGGCTTTTTTACCTCCATCCACCTGCTTTTTATTTTGATTTTGTGCGGCAGGGGACAGAGCCCAGGGCCTCGAACACGCAGGGCATGAGCTCTAGCTCTGAGCCACACCCTGGCCGTGAAATGAAAAGGGACACACACTTCATACGGGGCCTGGCGGGGACCCGGTCATCTTGGCACTCGGGGGAGGCCGAGGCAGGAGGATCGTTGCAAGTTCCAGACCAGCCTGGGCTACACAGTGAGCTCAATGCCAGCCGGAACTGCACAGCGAGACCCTGTCACAAAAGACTAAAGAGATAAAAAATAAAAGCTTTGCCTTTGCAGGCTCCGGGGTTCGCTGCTGCAGATACTCAACTCCAGCACTGCAGCGGAAGCTGAGCCTGTCCTGCACCAATGGCCGCGTCTGTGTCAATAAAACTTTATTTGCAAAAACCAGTGGACAGGCTGGGGATTTAGCTCAGCGGCATAAGTACCTGCCTTGCAAGCAGGCAGTCGTGAGTTCGATCCCTGGTACCGATAAAAAAAAAAAAAAAGAAAAAAGAAAAAGACACACACACACAAAAAAAAACCCAGTGGACAGTTGGATTTGGCCCTGGAGTTGACTCCTGTCCTACGGCACGGCTCCGCTCTGATGCCACCTCTGCACCCTGCTTTAGATGGGACCTTTCCCATCTCAAGCTTCCAGAAACCTCTGTGTCTACATTTAAGGGCCCGACCAACCAGAGACCTCTCCTCTGTGGTCGCCAGCGTAGCAAGCTGCCCAACCCATATTTATCCATTCAACCTATGTGTATCACTCCAGAATATCCAGACGGCTTCAGCTAGAAACAGGACAGGTCTGTGCAAAGGTCCTGAGGCTAGCAGGAAAGAAGGGCATCCTCATGAGGGCTGACTTTGGTTTTGCAATTTCAACAAGCTGCTCACCCAGTTATTACATATCTTTACTGATTCTATCTCTCACAAAGGATTGTTTTTTAAAAGGGAAAAAAAAATTTAACATCTGCAAAACACCCATCTCAGGGGAATTGAGTGCACACCACAGCTGTGTGCGGGCCACACCAGTCCACCTCTAGGCTTTCCACTTCCCCATGCTGAGCCTCTGTCCCCTGCCCGGACCTGCACCACCGTCCTCCTTTCTGTCTCTGTGTTGCCATGCGTGTCCCCATGTCTCGCTTGGTTCCCTGAACATGAACTAAAAGGCCACCTTTACAGAAGGCACTAAGCACGCGTCACCTTCCGGGGCCCAGGGCACGCAGCTGCCCACACCACACAGGCCGCAGTGCCCCTTCCCCCAGCCCCGCAGGGGCAGAGCCCAAGTGCCTACGCTGCCCTGGCCACCCTCTCACCTCCTGTGTCAGGAACGGGATGATCTGGGCGCAGATCCCGCTCAGCCGCTTCACGACCTCAGCCTGGCAGGAGTAACAAGATGACCTCGACGTCCACGGCTTTGGCGGGGCTGGGGACCCTCCCCCTGGCCCTCAGCTCCCAGGTGAGAAGCAGTCTCAGAGCTGGGCAGTGGGGGAACTGGCCCCTCTAGGTGCAGCAGGGAAACTGAGGCCAGCAAGCTCCGACTGGGGGAGGTGCCCCGCCATAAGTCTGGCAGATTCCCCAGGGGGCCTGGATTCCGAGGCAGAGACACCGGGCCACTCCAGTGCTGGGGTCACTGAGGGAGGTTAGGGGCCAGGCTGGGGTCCCCGAGAGGCCAAGGAACAGTGGGCAGAGGAGGCCCGAGTCCAGGTGAGCACATCCGGCCTGTCCCTGCCAGGGAAGCAGGGCACCGGCCCTCCCCCACGTCCTCTGCCCCATACAGGGCTCTGTGGCCAGCGCCCAGGGCCCACACCACCCTCCCCTCCCCAGCCTCCTCGGGGCGCACTAAACCAGCAGAGCCCACCACCCGGGGCAGCAGCCGCCCTGCTCCTAGCCACACCCCAGGAAGCCCGGTGGATGTCAGGCTTCTGCGGCCAACCTCTAAGAGCCCGGCAGCCCAGGGCCCCTCAGCCGCTCACCCCTCGGCCTCAGAGCTGACCTTAGACCCTGAGGCCCAGCTCGGAACCCACAGTGAGCCGAGAACGGACAGAGGACCCCCAGCCACCGCCCTGGGGCGAACCTTGACCCTGTCTCAAAGCTCCAGGCTCTCTGGGCCGGAAGGGACCCCGAAGGCCACCTGTGCAGCCCCTCCTGGGACAGAAGTCACCCTCACAGCCCTCCTGACCCTCTTGCTGCTACCTATGGCTTCTCAGCAAAGGGGACCCGGCTCCGGCTGCGGGTCACTGTCCCCCAAACGCTGAGACTCATTTTTTCTTCCCAGAGATTGAAATCTGCTCCCCTGTTCCAGCTGGGCCCTCGGGGGCCTCCGTGGAGATTTCAGGATAAGCCTGGGTCATCGTGGTCCCCCGCTGCCCAGGCTGGGACCCTCACAAGGCGGCGTCCAGACGCCCGCCCTCCCAGGGAGCCGGGACCCCAGGGTGGCACCTGCTTATGCATCTCGATGTTGAGGCCGTAGGACATCTCGTAGTACTGCAAAGGAAAGTCACTGCATGTCCAGCTGTGGGGACCCGGCGCTGCCCGGCTGGGTAGCACCGGGGTTCTGCATGGTGTCATAGCAGGGTGCAGAGCCCGCGGCTCCTCGGGGTCCCGGAAGCACAGCCCGGGGTTCAGGGCATGTGGGAGCCACCCTGAGCCCCGAAGCCCAGGGAAGGCCACTGCAGGAAGCCGGGGACCCCGCCGGGACGAGGAGGCAGAGGGGGCCGGAGGGGTCACCCCGGGCGGGCAGCCGGCCCTCACCATGACGTAGTGGCGCTGCATCTCTGTCTTCTCGCTGGCCAGTTTCTCACACTCCAGCTTGAGGCTGGGCAGGGACAGGACGCGGGTCCCCGCGGGCCTCGGGCAGCTCCCCAAGTGCTGGGGAGTCCCTGCTCCCCACCTTCCCACCCCGACCCCCGACCCAGAGCGGCCCCCCGGCCGCTTCCCGGACTCAGAACGCCCCAGAAGCCGGGCCCCCCCGACCCCCCACTTTCCCCGAATCCCCCCGCTCTCCCCCTGCGCCCCTCCTGCGCCCCCCCCGTTCCCCCCCTGCGCCCCCCCTGCGCCCCACACCTGTGGTACTGGGCCTGAAGAAACTGGAATTCCTCTTTGATGCGGTCGCAGATCTCCAAGATGGAAAACTTGAAGGGCTGGCCGGAGGGCAGCGGGGTCTGGGGCGCGGTAAGGGGACCTCAGGTGCGGGTCCGGGTGGGGCGGGGTGCAGGGGCGCCCCTCCGCCGCCGCCTCCGCGCAGCCCGGTCCCCGCTCACTCACCGGGTGCCGTCCCTGCGGGTACATCCTGCTGCTGGGGCGCCCCCGCCCGGCCGCGCGGGGCTCACAACCCTGGGGTGCAGAGCAGGAGGCGGGGGGCTGCCGGGGGGAGGGAGGGAGGGGGCGGGGGTCCCGGCGTCGCCCCCAGCAGCGCGGCCGGCTCCGGCACGGGGGCCTCCCCGGCGGGGCGCAGGCGGGGGGCGCGGGGCGGACGCGCAGCCGGCGCAGAGGTCGCCGCCGGGCTCGGTGGCTGCGCGGGCGGCAGGCGGGGGCCGCGCGGATCCGCCTCCCGCCTTAAGGTGGCGCCGCCCCCGCCCGCCCGCCCGGCTCTGCGCCCCCCGCGCGCCCCGGCTCCCCGCGCGCGCACCCGGCCCCCGAGCACCGCGCGCGCCCCCAGCTCCTGCGCGCTCCCGCGTGCGCGCCGGACACCCCGAGCCCCCCACCCGCTGGGAGCCCACAGTCTCTCCCCTGCGTCCCTCCCCCGGGGGAAACTGAGGCTTGCGTCTCCTCTCGCTCCTCCCTCCCACCCCCAACCGCCTGCAGGAGCAGGGTGAGCTCGGGAACGCCAAGTTCCTCCCGGTGGGCACAGAGGGGACCGGCCGGGTCAGCAATGGTGGCTTTTCCAGCCGGTGACATGCCCTCAGATGGGAGGATCCGGAGGAGGCCGCTTTGCTAAGTGCGGCCAGGGACACTTGCCAGGCAAGGGACAGGGCTAGGTTACAGCCAGGCGCCGCTTCCTGGCCCAGCTCTGGGGCTGGGCAGTTGCCTCTGTAAATGCGTCCTGTTGAGATGGGCAGGAGTGGCCAGCCACGTCCCCACCCTGGCAGAACACAGTCAGGGCCCAGAGATGGGAGTCCCGGGCTGCCACCTCCACCCCTGCTGGGCTGAGACTGCGTCACCCCCCCCCATACTCACTATCAAAGGAGTTCACTGGGGCCGGGGCCTCGAGGGAGGCTTTGGCTCCCATTTTGGATATTTAAAAACCTCAGATTCCCTCTGTGAGTCAATCAACAAACATGTACCAAGCACCTACTGTAGGTCACACAGCACTGGACACAGTGGGAGAACAAAGTAGAGGGAAAACCCCTTGAATTTGTGTTTGGGCTGTCTTTAGGCAGCTAAAGCAGCTGACAGTACAAAGGCCCTGGGGCATTAGTTTAGTAGCCAGACATCTACTGTGTATCCAATATTCTGTGCCAGGGCCCAGGGGTCCAGGAAGGAGAAAGGAAAGCCAATCCCAGCCCTGGGTGACTTGGTCTGGAGAGATGGCCAGAGGAGAAGGAGGAGGAGGAGGAGAGAGAGAGAGAGAGAGAGAGAGAGAGAGAGAGAGAGAGAGAGACCCATTAAAAAAGCTTCCCAGCTCCACACGTCCCGCCTGTCATACCAGTACTTGGGAGGCTGAGGCAGGAGGATCCCTGGAGTTAGAGGCCAGCCTGGGCTACATAGCAAGGCCCTGTCTCAAAAAACAAAAACCGGGCTGGGGATTTAGCTCAGCGGCATAAGCACCTGTCTTGCAAACCTGTGGTCTTGAGTTCGATCCCTGGTACCAGCAAAAAAAAAAAAAAAAAAAAAAAAAAAACCACAAAAAAAACACACCAGAGCTGAGGGTTTGGTCAGGCTGAAGCTCACTGCACCCGAAGCCCCAGATTTGCTGCTCAGCCCTGCAAAAATACATACAAATAACGTTCGCCCTGCTGTCTTCCCCGAAGGCTCTGTGCGGACTCCGGGCCGCGCCCCGCCCCCACGGTGCGCGCTCCCATCCGCGGCTTCCCCCTCGCCGGCTCTGCCTGCCTCTCTTCGCGGTGGGCGCAGTCCCGCCTCGGGCCTCTGCTCGCCCCCGTTCGTTCGTCATTTGGGGGTGAGCACAGATGCCCTCACCAGGGCCCTGCTCCTGGCCACCCGTGGAAGTGGCTCCCACCCTATCCAAGCCATCTTTCTGAAACACGTCACTCCGTTTTCTCTCTCTTCCTTGATTCTATGAGAGTATTTTTATTTATTAAGGTTTTTTGACTTTTTGAGACAAAAAGGGTCTCCCTATGCGGTGCAGGTTGGCCTGTGTTCACCGTGTAGCCCAGGCTGGTCTTGAACTCACAGCGATCCTCCTGCCTCAGCCTCCGGAGTGCTGGGATGACAGGCAGGTGTGTGCCTTGTGTTTTGGTTTTCTAAGACACAGTCTTACTATGTCATCCAGGCTGGCCTTGAGCTCAGGCGCACACTTCCAAGACTGGCTCAGGAAGAGTATGGTGGCTTTTCTTTTCTTTTTTTTTCAGGGATTATCTTTGTCTATCTGTGGGTCGTTCTGTTCCGTCTGTGTCCTGCCAGGGTGCGTACGCACTGAGGCCCGCTCGGTCCCTGCAGGGCCCGCGTGAAGCAAAACGCTCAAGATGTGAACAGGCAATGGGGCGAGAAAATACATGCGCTTTCTGGCTCCAGCCTGAAGGCTCCAGCCGCGCGCTCTGCACAGGTAACCTCAGAATTGAGGCTTTCCACGGGAAAAGCCATGAGCCAGGTTCTCCATGATTCCAGGTTCTCGGGGCCACTTCTGCCCTGGGAACTCCTGAGAGGGTCTTTGGTTTTGTTGTTCTTTTGTTTCTTTCTGTCTCTCTCTCTCTTTTTTTGGTCTCTTTAAGACAGGGTCTCACTACGCACTTCAGGCTGGCCTTGAGCTCACTCTGCACCCAGCATGGTCTTGAGCTTGCAACAACCGTCCTGCCTCAGCCTCTCGAGCGCTGGAATTGCAGGTGTGTGCCACCACACCTGCCTTCATTTCTGTAGCCCTGGCTGGCCTGGAACTCTCTGAGACCCTCCTGCCTCAGCCTCCTGAGTGCAGGCCTTACAGGCGTGCAGCACCAGGCCTGCTTTCTGGAAGCTTCTTCGGTCAAGGTCTCGGCCTTTGCAGACTCAGGGGCCCCCTGACCCCCAAACCCAGTGTCTCCTCCTCCCCAGCTCCTTCCAGACCCAGTGGCCCTCCTTAACCTTTGACCAAAGGGCTCTTTCCTCCTTTATGCACCTGGCCTCTGGGACACCTCAGGGTCCGGGAGGCTTTGGGGGCCACCTGCACGAGGGTGCTGGAGCCAGCAACATCGAACCTGCGCATGCAGAGCTTTCAGTGATACAGAAGGCCACCATGACTTGGGTGCCACACGCTCGCCACTACTGAGTCTGAACTCTGTCCCTGTCCTGTATCAGACCCAGAGACCCAGCACTGCAGTCCAGCAACAACTGGCATCTCGCCAAGTGCCCCGCCCTGGCCCTGTCGCCTACAGGCTCAGTCTCAGTGTCACCCTCACCCCGGCCCTGTCCCGTTCGGACCACAGACCACCTGTCCCCTGAGCCTTGCAGGTTCTGTGCAGCCGCCCTGGTTCCGAATCCCGCCATGGCTCCCTAGTGCTCCAGGGACAAGTGTCCACTTCCTCAGGCCAGCAGGGGACACTCATCTCCTTCCCCAGCCGCCCCTTCTGGCGGTTCAGTCTGCCTCTCCGGATGAGACCTCCCTCCCTGTCTTTCCGGCCGTCTCTTTCTCCTTCCGCCCTCCTGGGACTGGACCCCGGACCCTGACACTGAGCTACACCCAGCCCTTTCTGTTTTCTTGTCTTCAGACAAGGTCTCACTCGGTCATGTCCAGGGTTTCTCTGAGTCACTATACCAAGGCTGGAACTTGGGACCCTCTTGCCTCAGCCTCCCAGAGTAAGTGGCAGGATCACAGAGCGGCAGCCCGACTTCTCCAGGCTGTGAGCTCTTGCTGGAATTCCTGCCTTCTCTCTCTCTTTTCGGTTTCCTTTTTCTTTTTTTTCTGCCTGGAGAAAATCCCTGCTTTCCAGGCCAGCCACAGAGCCACTTCCTCCAAAAGCCGCCCCTCTCCAGCCTCCCCCTCGCTCAGGCCCGCAGATAAAGGCCATGTGTGCTGTTCCACCTCCTGGCACTGCAGAAAGGCCCGGCCAGCCTTGCCAGAGAGCGCTTGCGGGGCCGGGAGGCGCTGCGTGTGCCCGGGCCCACACAGGCGGTGTCAGGACAAAGGGAGGGAGCCCGGCCGCAGGAAGCGGCGGGAGGGGCCGCCTGGCACGGGTCTGCTCCCTGCCCGGGTCCCTCTGCCAGGCGCCACAGGGGGGCCAAGCTCGGTTTGCGGCTGCCCGGGGAAGCCGCGGCGGACCACACACACCTTCCCGCCGCCAGAGCGTCCACAGGTCGGGCTTCTGGTGGGATCTGGGGTCCCGGCCCAGGGCGGCCTGTGCGATGCCAGAGGGGCGCAGCTCGCCCTGCACAGAGCAGGTGAAGGACCCCGAGCTGGGTCAGCAGCCTAGGCCCCGAGGGACGGGCCTCGGGGTCCACCTGTCCCGGCCTCAGTTTCCCCATCTGCAGAATCAGAAAAAGATTTGCAAAAATGTGGAAAAGCAGCTCCTAATGGCTCTCCTCCCACTGTAGAGAAAGGCTCAGCCCCTGGTTCCCGGCTGAGTTTTTATGATGTGGATGTGGGTTTAAAAAAAAGAGAGAAAAAAAAAGCTGAGAAACAGCCTGGGACCCTGGACTGCTCAGACCACCTTAAATCAGCCCCGCTGCCCCTGCTACCGTGGAAATGCCTTTCTCCGCGGTGGTTGGCTGGGAGTGTCAGCCAATCCGCTTGCGGTGCTCCCACATGGGTCCGTGACGTCACAAGAGGAGATGGCCAATGGCGAGCTAGATACCGGTAACCAATGGAAGAAGGCGATAAGATGGGCTAGGCCAATGAGAAGGCGGCCAGGCGCTCCCCGCGGGGGTCTGGCGAGTGTAGCTCCCCCTCCTCTCCCTCAGACCCTCGTGGACCCCAGAGCTGGTCTGGATGGGAGGGGGGAGATCTGCCACCCATTATTATCCCGAAACTGGGACGTGTCCGCTAAGGCTGGCAAGTCTCCTCTTAAAAACAAGAGTCTCTGTGCCCGGTTAGAGCCTGGCCCGCCTCCCAAGAGCACAAGCTCCACTTTTGCCCTATTTTACAGATAGGTAAACTGAGGCAAGGAGCACTGAAGTCAGGATGGACGCCCAAAGAACCGAGGGTCCTAATCCAAGCTGGGAGGCTTCTGACATGGGCTCATTTTTGTCCCCAATGGTGGAGGAATGGGCAAACATTGTAGGTAGGAAGGTGTGTGTATGGGGGGTGCCGGGCTCCATGCCTCAGTTTCCCTGAGCATAGACTGCGGAGCAGCCTGGCGTGGGGGTTCTGGGAAAAAGACTACAAGTTCCAGCAGCACCCGCGCGCCATACTGGCTCGGGCTGTCAATCAAAGTAACGTGGGTCCCGCAGTCTGCAACCCGCGCCCCCCCCCCCGCGCCTGCCTCCTGCCAGCTCCCGCTCCCTCTCCGCCGGCTCCAGGCCCGGCGCGGTATAATTACAGCCCATCGATCCGACCCGAGCCGGGAAAGCAGGTCCCTCGGGGAGGCCAAGCCTTTGGCTTCCGACACCGCTAACCTCGGCCTCCCGCGCCCCCCAGCCGAGCAGCTGGGCCACCAGCCAGCTGGGCCCCGGGCTTGCGGGTGACCTCTGTGAGCCTCGGTTCCTCCGTCTGTCTTGGCCGAGAGCCCACCCGCACCCCCAACCCGCGGAAAAGCCACACACAGGCACAGGGAGCCCCCTCCCCCTAGCTGAAGACTGTGGCCCCCTCTCTGTGCCTCAGTTTTCGTACTTGGGGTCAAGATTCATTCATGAAACCAATTTTCTTGGCTGTTGAGTTGGGGGACAGCCCGGGGGATGTAGTACTGGGGACTCGGTGGGGGGCTCCCAAGTTTGGGAGGAAAGCCAGGCCCAGGTGTGGTGAGTGGCATGGGCCTGTCATCCCGACTCTGGGAGGCTGAGGCAGGAGGATCCCAAGCTGCAGTTCAGCCTGGGCACCTTAGCAACCTAGGGAGACCCTGTCTCTCAAAATAAAAAGGGCTGGTGCTGGGGCTCCATGTCAAGTCCCTGAGTTCAACCCCCATTACAGGACTGAGGGATGGGTGGATGGGGAGAAGAGCCCCCTGTCATCTGTACTGGGGAAGACTGAGGACCAGACCAGGAAGTGGGGGTGTGGAACCAGAGTGAGACTCCTGCCTGGGAAGGTGGAAAAGGATCCTACACATTGGATCGCAGTGGGTGCTTAATCTAGGGTTTTGCAGAGTGCCTAGGAATTGCCTAGTCTGAGAGCTGCATTTAACTCCTCACATAAAGCAGCCAGGGAAAGATGGGGCGGCCTCCGACACTCTGGGCGGACCCTGACTGAAAAGGGGAGGTGACACCTGTGAGTGGCTGACCCTTGCTGGTTCCCTTGGTCCTGAATCCACCACGGGCCCAGTGTCAGGCTTGCTCATGCTGGAAGGGGAAAGTGGCCTCACAGGCTGGACTGTCGCCTTAGCACTGGGGAGGCTGAGGCAGGAGAGTCACCAGGAGCTCAAGGCCAGCCTGAGAGAGTCTGTCTCAAACAAAGAAGCCGAAGAAGAAAAGAAAGAAAAAAGAGGTTGTAGCAGAAGCTTCTCGGAAGTTAAATTACACAAAGCCATTGTTTGTTTCATTTTTGTTTTGTTTTTTGAGTCAGGGTCTGGCTGTGCAGCACAGGCTGGCATCAAACTCAGTGACCCTCCTGCCTCAGCCTCGTCAGTGTTGAGATTGCAGGCGTGTGCACCACGCCCAGCTTCATAAAGTTATTCTCAGCGAAGGCTCAGTAAGGGAGAGCTGTTTGTCCCCCATCCTGTCCCGAAGGGCCCTTCTCGTCCACTGTGACTGGCCCCCCACAGCCCCGCTGCATCTTCTCCCTCTCTTTGCCTCTGACTATCCACTAAAATGGGGGTCAGCTCTGATCACACCCCACCTCCAATGGTCCCCAGGTACTCCCCTCAAATGTAAAACCCCACCTCCTGGCCCCTGAGCCATCCAGACCCCATCCACTTCCAGAACACCAGCTGGGGCCCAGCGCAGGGCCTTTGCACCTCCGTCGCCTCAGAAGTACACTTCCGGGACTGGGTCATACTCCACACTGCTGTATACCTGCCAGGCCCAACATGGAGTGGCTACACTGTGTTCACCGGAGATTGGGAGGGGGGGGAGTGTCGAGGGAGACAGGTCAGCCAGCATATTGGCCAGGATGCTAGCTAGGTCTCCATGGAAACCTGTCCCACTGAGTTTTATAATCCCTTCCTGAGCCTGGATGGTGTGGGGTGAGCTCCCTGCCTCAGCCTCCCCGAGTACTGTCATGAAGGGCTTTGTCCTCTGTCTTAATGTATCTGTTCTCCCCGCCGGCCTGGGCTCTGGGTGCGGGCAGTGGGGTGGGTCCCTGGTGCCCAGCTGCAGCCTGGCACACAGCAGACCCCCGGGACGCCCCGTATCCTGCCGTGAAAGGACCTTGCTGGGCGGGTCACCAAGGGACCCCGGGGGGAGGCCCGTGCCATCCTCAGCCAGGCGGGGCCCTGTGGCTCCCCCGGCAGGGTGCCCAGGCCGGCCTTGAACTCAAGACCCTGCTGCCTCAGCCTCCTGAGTGTCTGGGTGGTTTTCAGGCTTTATCAGAAAGCCCCTCCCTGTCACAAAGGCCCGCTCCCCCCGGGGCCTCTGCCTCAGTCTCCTCTCCCGCCTGGTCCTCACCTTTGTGTCCCCTCAAAAGCCCCAGAATATCCAGGAGCGATGCCCCTGGTTAGCACCTGCCACGGCTGTGGGTGCCCCAGCTCCCCCGGGGCCCTGGCAGCGTCCCGTGCTGGCGCTGACCGGCTGTCTCACCGGCCAAGTGGCCAAGATACTGAATGTCCAGTCGCCTTGGCTGTGTGAGCTGGGCCAAGTCCCTTGGCATCTCGGAGACAGCGTCACACTGTGCAGCCCAGGCTGGCCGTGACCTCGGGGTGATCCTCCTGCCTCAGCCTCCCGAGCCCTGGGGAGACAGCTGCGTGTGCCCCAGTCATTGCGCTGGGGCGCTGCAGGCTGGCCCTGGGCACTGAGGACAGCATGGCAACTGTGTGGGTGGGGAAACTGAGGCACCACAGAAGAACCAAGGTCCTCAGGTCCTCCTAGGGCTGAGTGGCCAGTGTTCACTTGATCCCCCTTCAAACCCCTTCTGGGAAGTCCCTGAGGGCCTGGCCAGCAGACTGCCCAGAGGGGCAGGGGCTTTTGTTTTTTTGTTTTTGAGAAAGGGTCCCCTTTTGGTTACCGAGGGTCACCAAGTTGCCCTGACCAGGCTTGACCCTGGACCCTCCTGCCTCAGCCTCCGAGTGCTGGGATAACTGTCCTGTGCCACGGAGTCTTGAGAATGAGGTGGTCAGAAAGGGTCACTGGCTGCGGTCACCGCTGTGCCCTCCGCCCCGGGCCAGGCGGGTGGGAGCTGAGGTCACCGCCCCGCCCCCTCCCTCCCCTGCCTGCCTCATTAGGCCCCAGCTCGGGGCCCATTAGCCGATCAATTAGCCGAGGTTGCCAGCAGCTTGGACAGGGGAGACCGCAGGGAGGTGACTTCACCCACCTGAGGCTGCCAGGGGTCAGAGGCCCAGCCTGCCCGGCTGCCGTGCCCCCACCGGAGGCTCTGCCCAGCTGCCCGGCTCTCTATGGGGTGGGCCCGGGGCTCACCAGGCTTTTAAATCCTGAGATGCGATCTCCAAATGGCTCAGGGTGGGCCTGAACTTGGGATCCTCCTGCCTCAGCCTCCCAGAGCGCTGGGGTGATGGGTGCATGCTGGAGCCATCCTCCCCTTGGGGACAGAGGCCGGGACCCACATGGCCCTGCCCTGGGTTTGTTGTTCTGGCTCCACTGCTGGGGGCACCCCGAGGTCCCCTTGAGCCAAGTCCCACTCTGACAAGGCTGCCGTCACCAGGATGTAACCCAGCTTGGCTGAAGCAGGGGGGAACCTGCAGGTCTTTCTAGGGGAGAAACTGAGGCACGGCTAGGGAGGGTCTTTTTTTTTTTTAACAGGGACTATGTAGCCCAGGCTGCCCTCAAACCTGCAGGGATTCTCCTGCCTCAGCCTCCCAGTCATAGGCAGGTGACACCACGCCCAGCCGAGTGTTTTTAAGAACATCACTGGTGGCCCACAAAGTGCCACTTTGCTGGAGTCCCTCTACCCTGGAGGTCCGAACCCCTCGGCTAAACCAGGTGCATGGCACACGCCTGTGATCCCAGCTGGCTGCCCTGGAGGCTGAGGCAGGAGACTCTCCAGATGGTCAGCCTGCGCAACTCAGCGGGACATGTGGCTGGGACACAGCTCAGGGTGCAGGCCCGGGCACCAGCAGGCCCACGGGGTGTCCTGGGACCTGGGGGGGGGGTGACAGGATGGGGCGCCCTGCCCCACCCCCCTCAACACAAAGGCCCGGACACAGCCACCAACCTTCTCACGTCTTTATTTGAAAGGCACAGCTAGCCCGCCCTCCACGCTTCCCTCCCCAGAGCCAGACAGACGGACAGCACCGAGGTTGACCAGACACAGCTGGCGCGGGGGCTCCATTTGATTTTTAGGGTCTCCTTTCTTAGAAGTCAGGCTAGCGTTACAGAAAAACCAAAATAAGAACCACCAAGACAACTTCAGTACCCTCATCTTTATTGGGGAAGGGGAAGGAAACCCCAGGGCGCTGCCCCCACCCTGCTGGTCCCGGCGGGACGTGCTTCCCTTCGGTCAGCCCTGGGGATCGAACCCGGGCCCCGTAGTTCCTATTTTGACGCAGGCTCCCACCTGAGTCGCTCAGGCTGCCCAGATTGGGCTGCACCTCCAGACCCTCCCGCCTCAGCCTCCCAGAGCTGGGCTGGGGGCCGCTCCGGCTACAGCAGCAGGCGAGGGGCAGAGGTGGTGGGGGGGGGCAGGGGCCAATTCGGGGCGCCCAGGCGGGGAGGGGCTGTTAGCATTGAGTACATGCAATGCCAGGGTGGCCGCTGCAGCGCTGTCCCAAGGGGGCCCAGCGAGAGGACAGACTAACCGACAGACGTGTGCGATGGGGTGCGTGGGGTGCTGGGGTCCTAGAGGTTTTGCTCTGCTCCCTGCGGGGCGGGTTCTGGTCCCCCCAAAGATGCCGGTCGGTCCTCAGTTTGCCACAAGGGAGTGGGGAGAAAAGTGGGGGAGCCGGAGTGGCTGGAGGGGGCAGGAGAAATCTAGGGGTGGCTAACAAGCGGCCGGCGGCAGCAGCGCTGACCATAAATACCGTGAGTGTCGCCGGTCCCGAGCTAAGCTGTCTGGCGTTCTGCATTCCTGTCGCTCTGTGCCTCAGTTTCCCCTCCCGCCCTCCCCATCCCCCGGCCGCCACCGCAGCGGCCCGCAGCAGCCTCTGCCCCACCACCGGCTAATCGGACTTCTCGCCGTCGTCCTCCTGGTGGGTGTCGCCGTCGTGGCCGTTCTTGTCCTCCTTGGACAGGTGGGCCTGGGAGCCCAGCGCGGACAGCGACAGCAGCCCGGTGCCCGCGCTCACGGCCGGCAGCGACGGCGGCTGCAGCCCCACGGGCAGGGGCGTCAGGGGCAGCGCCAGCGCCTGCAGCTGGGACAGCTGGTGGGCTTGGAGCTGCTGCTGCGGGGCACAGAGGGGCGGGTCACGGCTGCCCACCGGCCCACAGTCCTCGGGGTCCCCGCCGCCCCGCCAGCCGGCCGGCACCTACCCGGATGATGGAGTTCAGCTCTGGGGCGGTGACCTGCTTGGCCCGCTCGATGGCCCCCAGGACCTGCTGCTGGTGCTGGGTGGGCGTGAGGGCGACAAACGGCCATCAGGGAACCCCCACCCCAACCACAGCTCAGCACAGGGCCCAGAAGGCACTGGGGCTTCACTGAAAACCCTCCAGCGGTCGGGGCCAGGGGACTGGGATAAAGGCCTTTGAAGCACCCGAGAGGAACCTGGGTCACGATCAAAGCCCTGGGCGCTGTGCTCAAAGCTGGAGGATTTGTGCAGTGGCCAACCTGACCCACTATACCAACCAGGAAGTCTTTATCTTTTTCCCTTGAGCTGCAGCCCTTTAAATTTTTTTTTTTTTTTTTTTTTTTTTTTGAGATGGAGTCTCCCATGCAGTTCAGGCTGGCCTTGAGCTTAATTTGTAGTCCAGGCTGGCCTCAAACTCACAGCAATCCTCCTGCCTCAGCCTCCTTAACAGCTGGGAGGACAGGCGTGCGGAACCACATCTTCCCTGACGCTAACAGCTCAGAGAACTTGGAGAGCTGTCAATCTAAGTCCCTCTCCCTCCACGGCTGGGGAGGGCTGCAAGGACTTCCTAAGCACTGCGATATGTATCTAGGTTTGGGGAATCTCCTCCCAGGCCTGCCTGGAAGTCTGGCTCTGTTGACACGGAATTCCACTCTGACCCACCAATTTCTCTTTTTGCCTTGTCTACCAGGGGCCCCCTCTGTGAAAGGAAAGCCTAAGAGTCCAGATGTGAAGGGCTCCAAGTGGCCTCTATTGTCTGGAGCTGTCCTCCTGTCCTTCTAGAGCTGGCCTTGGGCAGTTCCCAAGATGGACCGCGGCTGAAGGAGGAAACCAGCTGCAGTGTCTGATGACTGATCTAGCTATTATGGAGGCTGAGGCAGGAATTTTTCAAGTTCGAGGCTAACCAGGGCAGTTTAGTAAGGAAAATAAAAAGGGGCTGGGGGAGAGCTCAGTGCAGGGCCCGGGTCCCGTCTGCGGTGCTGAGGTCTGGGATGGAGCCCTGGTGCCACCCGGTGGCTGTGAAATCCCCGTGGGCCCATCTAGCCTGCCGCCAAGGCCGCCCCTGGGTGCTCACCTCCTGGGAGAGGTAGGGCAGGACCTGGGCGCAGATGCCGTTCAGCCTCTTGACGATCTCAGCCTGCAGGGAGAGTGGCCATGAGGGGACGGGAGGGACAGCAGGGCCAGGGCAGCGGTCTCTGGTGCCCTGGAGGCTGAATGCCAGGCCAGAGGGCCAGAGAGGAGCTGGGGGGGCAGGGAGGGGTGGGGCCCCTCCACCCTCCAGCCTGTGCAAAGAAAAAACCCCGGGGGCAGCCCAAAACAGAAAGGGTTTGGACAGGAGAGGCTGAGGCAGGAGGCTCTCAAGTTTCAACCCAGCCTGGGCAACTGAACCACGGGGTAAGAACTTCCGGTTTTCCAAACAGGAAGTAAAAAGCACCAGAGAGGGCGCCATACTGGGGTACCGGGGTTCCAGCCTCAGGGGGGCAAAAGGATCCAAAAAGAGGGGAGGGGGCGGGGTGCAGGAGAGGGGCCCCTACCTGCTTGTGCATCTCGATGTTCAGGCCGTAGGACATCTCATAGTACTGCGAGGGGGAGAAGGGGGACTGGGGTGGGACCGGGGTCAGGGCCAAGGCAGCAGGTGGGGGCTGTGGCCGTGCCCCACGCGGGGCTGGGCCGGCGCCGCCCCTCCCCCACGCATTCCAGGCCTCAATCTTTTATCTTTCCACGTCCTGTCTGCGGGTGGCCCGGGCTCTGGGGCAGGCGGCCTCCCCGGTATAAATAATCCAGGGTAAACACAGCCTGCCGGGTTAGCTTCTGGGGCCGGGCTGCCCTCTCTAGTCAAGCCCCAGAGCCGACCCTGCCCCCTCCTGGGCTCTTAAACCCTCTCGTGGCTCCCTACTGCCCTTAAGAGAGCCAAGTTTGTGGGTTTGGCTGGGCTTTTGGTTAATTTTCCCAACCTCTGTCCAGTAGGCTCCTAAGCATTCTTCAAGGCCCCAGCCGCTGTGTCCCACGCAGCCCACCCAGCTTCCCTCAGAGCCCCTCTCGGTGCCTGGCCCCGCCTCTCCCGCAGCCTGCAAGGTAAATGAGCCCCTGGCCCTCCTGCTTTGGAGGATACAGGGGTATGGACGCAAGCGGGTTTGGGTCCAGCAGTGTGGACAGACAGGACGACACGGGGTCAGGCCCGCCGAGGTGGCAGGGGCAGCCGCAGCTCCGGGCCCGGGCGCGGAGGGGTTAAGGCGCGCGGAGGGGGCGGAGGCAGACGTCAGCGTCAGTCCCCGGGGCACCTCCCCCTCCGCCGGCCGCTGCCAAGGACGGCGGGCCCTGGGGCTGGGGGCGGCGGCTTGGCACCTGGGCCTCCCCCGGCGGGCAGCGCAGGTCCAGCGTCCCCCCCAGGCCAGGCCAGGCCCTCACCATGACGTAGTGCCGCTGCATCTCCGACTTCTCGCTAGCCAGTTTGTCACACTCCAGCTTCAGGCTGCGGGCACAGAGCCGGAGAAACTTGGTGGCAGTGGCCACCCGGTGTGTGTCCCCCCACCCTGCACCCTAACCACTGGGGACCAAACTGAGGGGGTTCTGTGCGGTTCTCTCTGGTGGCGTCGGGTGCCTCAGTCTCCCTAACTGTACAGTCTCCCCAGCTGTACAGATCGGATGGCAGAAAAGCAAACAGACGCTAAAAACCACCAGGTCCAACTTAGGAGGCCGAGGCGGGACGATCTCCAGTTTGAGCCCAGGCTGGACAACACTTGTGAGGCTCTGTCTCCAAGTTAAACTGCTAAGTAGTCCAAACTGAATCTGAACTTGGGGACCCTCCTGTCTCAGCCTCTTCTACGTTATGTGACTCTAGGGTGATTCTTCAATCTCTTTGGGCCCCCGCTGGCTCCTTTGGTAAGTACTAGCCTCCCAGAGCCCGCGACCCCAGCACTTGGGAGGCTGAGGCAGGAGGCTGCACAGTGAGCTCAAGGCCAGCCTGAGCTGCATAGTGAGACCGGGTCTCAAAAAGCCCCTCCCCCCCCAAAAGAAGACAGGGTTGCAGTTCAGGGGTGGGGGGCTGGCAATTTCACCCCAGCCCTGGATTTCTGGCCTGTTAACTTCTAGCTGGTCTTGAGTTAGTCCCCAACATTTAGGACCCACGTTCTGCACAGTGAGAACTCTAAAGTCAGTAGGTGAAGACCCCAAAGCTCAGAAAGGGTGTCCGGTCCCCCGGAGGTCACAGGGTCCTGCGGCACAATCTGACCTCTGCAGTCAGCAGCTCTAGGGGGCTCAACGGGAGGTACACGGGGCCGCCAGGCAAGGCCCCCAATCTGCATACCAAGGTGCAGAGCGGTGCCTCAGTTTCCCTCTCTTTAAAATGTGCGCCATAACGAAGTAGCCCATGCCTGTCATCTCAGCTACCTGGGAGGTTGAGGCAGAAGAGTTCAAGCCCAGCTCCCCAAACAACTGACTTAAGTCCCTGTCTGAAAAGAACAAATAAAGATGGGGTCCGGCTTGGTGGGGCGCTTGCCTAGTCTGGGAAGGGCGCTGGGCTCATCCCCAGCACGGGAAAAATAAATAAGTACAAAATATTGGGGCTGGGGATTTAGCTCAGCGGCATAAGCACCTGCCTTGCAAGCAGGCAGTTGTGAGTTTGATCCCTGGTACCGATAAAAAACAAAAACAAAATATTCTTAGTGGCCGACAGGTGAGAGGCCCGAGGGCATAGGTTCCACCCCTCACCTTCAGGAAACACCCGGAGGTCACGTTTGCACAAAAAGAAACACTCGCTTTCTTCCTGACAAAAACCCAGATCCTTAGAGAACACTTTTGAGGTACCTGCGTGAACCCGCCCCAAAGGCCTGAGGCTAGTGGCCTTGGCTCCCCGCACCCTGGGGGGGGGTGGCGGCACACACCTGTCATCCCAGCCCCGGGGAGGCTGAGGCAGGAGGAGCGCTGTGAGTTGCAGGCCAGCTTGCACTGCACAGTGAGACCCTGCCTCCAAACCAAAAAAAAAAAAAGAAAAAGAAACACCAGATGCCCAGGGAGCAGACCATCTTCCTTCCAGACAGGATGATGGGGGTCCTTGCCCAAACCCCACAGCTTTAGAAGACTTTCCTGCAATGGATGCTCAGAACCTGGAGGCTCTGAGGCCCCTCAGGCCTGCCTGGCCTTTGAGTAAATTCACATTGCGGCGCCTCGATTTTCCCATCTGTGGGAAATGGGGCTGCGCTGCGGGAGGTCTGGCTGCACACCGTGCCGTGCTCTCCGCGTGCGCAGGCGCCCCAGTACCCCCCAGTCCCCCTCACCTGTGGTACTGGGCCTGCAGGAGCTGGAACTCATCTTTGATGCGGTCGCAGGAGTCCGAGGTGGTGAATTTGAGCTGCTGGGGGAGGTGCGAGGAGCCCTGCGCGTGGGGAGGGGGCGGTGGCCGGGGTCACGCACCGCCCTCCCCGCTGGGCCCGCCCCCCTGCCGCGCCCCACTTCCTGGGCCCTGTTTACTGGCCCCCTCCCCCGCGCGCCCCCGCCTTGCTTCCTGCCCCCGCCTCTACAGGAACCCGGGTGGGGGCGCCGCGCAGGGCTCCTCCTCCGCTGCGCCCCCCCCAGGCCGTGGGGTGCACTTTAAGGCCGCCCTTGGGGGGCAGGGTGCGCCCTCTACCGAAGCGCCTGGGGTGCATATGGCAGCGCCCAGTTGCCCCTGGCGGGGAGGAGGGTGCCGGAAGGGATCCCCTCCACAGTCGGGGGAGAATCGAGATCCCCTTGGAGAAGGGGCCTCGCTCAGCGCCCCAACTCTCCCGGGGGGCCTCCAGATCGCTGCACCCTTCCTCCTTCCGGGAGGGGTGCACCTCGGCTCCGTCTCCCCACCCGCTACTGCAGAGCCCCGCAGCAGCCTCCAGCGGGAGGTGCCTGGCGGGGTGCCCGGAGCGCCCCGGACCCGCGGCCAAGGCCGCCTGAGGCCCGGCTCGGTGGGGGACGCCCGGCGGGAGCTGGGGAGGCGCAGGCTCTGGGCGCTGGGGGGGGCCCTGGGGACTGGGGGGGTCTGCGCTGGGCCCGAGCCGGAGCCCGGGCCTGGGAGTTTGGGGGGCCCCTGGGGTGCGGGCCTCGGTGGGTGCGGGGCGGGCTGCGCGGTGGGGGGGGCAGCACGGGGGCCTCGAGTTCGCGGGAGCCGGGCCTGGAGCTGGGGGGCGCGGGGTGCAGGGTTCGGGGTGCAGGGCCGGGAGCGGGGCGCGGGGTGCGGGGCCCGGAGCGGGGTTCGGGGCGCGGGGCCCGGAGCGGGGTTCGGGGTGCGGGGCCGGGAGCGGGGCGCGGGGTGCAGGGCCCGGAGCGGGATTCGGGGTGCAGGGCCCGCTTACCGAATGCCTGCTTTGTGGGAACATCATGTCAGTCGCGGCGGGGGGCGCGGGCTGCGCCCCGGCTCGGGCTGCTGGGGGCGCCGGGCGGCCGCGCCTTTGTCCCGCCGCCGCGCCCCGCGCCCGCCGCGGCCCCCGCTTCCTGCGCCCCGCCCGCCGCCCGCTCCTCCTTTTGTCTAATGGCGGCGGCGCCGGCGGGGCCGCGGCTGGCTGAGGCGGCTGCTGCTGCTGCTGCTGCTCGCTCGGCTCCACCTGCCGCCGCCCCCGCCGAGCCCCGCGCGCCGCCGCCGCCGAGGGGAGCGCGCGCCCGGGGAGCCGCCGCCGCCGCCGGGTGACCTTGGGCCGCCCCGCCCCCACCCGGCGGGGGAGGGGCGCCGGCCGGCCTCGGTTTCCCCATCCGGCCGAGCGGCGGCCCGGCTGCAGCTGCCGGGCTTGAAAGCGCGGGCGCTGTCATGGCGAGCTGGCCCCGTGCCACCGGCGCCCTCGTGGGTGACCTTGGCGGCTGTCTGCTCCGCGCCCGGCCTCCGTTTCCTCTGCTGGGCGGCCTGCGTGCACCGTGACCCCTTCCCTGGGCGCGCACTGAGTGCCTACTGTGTGCTGGACCCCTGTGTGTGTCAATGTGGGGGGGGGGACAGTCACTGCCCGGCCAGATCCCAGATGGCTCCGATGATGCCAACAGTTATGGAGGAAAACAAATGGGGGAGGGGAAGGCAGTGGATTTCCTAGGGTGAATGCCAGTGCAAAGGCCCTGGGGTAGGGCTCTGCCTGGCACAAGGAATTCTGGGAGCAGGAGAGGGCAGACCCTACTGCTTCGAGGTTGGCCCAGCAGCCTCTAAGTTAATGCTCTGCTCTTCTATTTTATTATTTATTTACTTATTTATTTTTATTGGTAGTGGGGATCAAACTCAGGACTGCGCGCTTGCAAGGCAGGCACTTATGCTCCTGAGGCAAATCCCCAGCCCCTGCTCTTATATTTTAAAATCCTTAAGTCATTTTTGAGCTAGAGGCCTCCGTGGTTTCACTTTGCATTGGGCCCTGCAAAGGCTTTTCAGTTTTCATTTGTGCCTTGCTGAGGGTGCAACCCAGGGCCTCTACCCTGAGCTGTGTCTTGGCCCTTTTGACCATTTATTTTGAGACGGGGTCTCTCTACGTTGCTGACTTGATTAGGCTGGGCTCAAATTTGCACTCCTGCCTCAACCTCCCTATAATAGCTTTGATGACAGGCATCCACCAGACACCACAGTGTTTTGGTTTGGTTTGTTGGGTGAGGAGCCCAGACTTGCAATGCAAGCTGTTACTAATAAACCGGCAGCCCTGTATGTGTTTTTGCAACACCAGGACCCTTGGGAACACCCCACTCAGCTGTCTGAGAGGTGGAGAAACTGAGGCACGGGCGAAGTGAACTGCCTTGGCCAAAGTCACAGTACGAAGCAGCAGAGCTGGGATGGAAGCAGGCACCGTGCCTGGGCCTTGATCACAAGGCCTGGCAGGGTGGGGTCACCGGCTGGAGAGGCCAGGAGCCCAGAGCACTGCCCGGCCAAGGGCCTGGGAGTGTCTGGAGGGCAGGCGGGAGCCATGGGGGTGCCAGGGCGCCTTGTTGGTTGCTTCTGGGTCCAGACCACTCTGTGGGCACTGCAGGGTGCTAAGGGACGTCCCTGGGCTCCGGGGGTCAGAGTCACCCGCCTTGGCGTAGAGCATCCCAGAGTGCAGGGAGACAAGGAGTTCAAATTCAACCTACATAGTAAGACCTTGTCTCAGAAAACAAAAGCCAGGCATGGTGATGCACATCTATCATCCTGGTACTCAAGGGGCTGAGGCAGTGAGAGCTCCACAGGTACAGGGCAGTCTGAGCTACACGGGGATACCCTATCTCAAAATCCCCAAAATAAATTAAAATAAAAATGTTTCTCTGGAGAACCGAGATTGCTGTATACTTTAATATTTGTTGTATTTTACTTATTTTTATGGCACTCAGGATAAAATCCAGAGGATTCAACCCTAGCTATATCCTGAGGCCAGTCTCGAGTTCCAGGTGATCCTCCTGCCTCAGCCTCCCAAGTGCTGAGATTACAGGCATGCACTACCATGTCCTGCCATGTTTTGGGTATTTTAACCATAATAAAAAATACACTGCATTAAAATAGTGTTCCAGAGCCAGGATACCAAAAAAAAAAAAAAAAAAAAAACAGACATAGGCTGGGTGTTGCTGGCCCTACTTGTCATTCCAAGACTTGAGAGGCTGAGGCAGGAGGATCACCAAGAGTTCCAGGCCCTGTCTCAAAAAGAAAAAAATAATACCCAAAACAAAATTTGCTCCTGGGCACATCACCTGTCTGGCAAGCACAAAGTTGTGAGTTTGATCCCTGGTAAGAGAAAGAAAAATTTATCATTACAGACATTTAATACATTTGCAATGTGCAGTCACCATGTCTGCGTGGTCCCAGAATGTCCCCTCGCCCCAGGGAAGCCCAGTGTCCCATCCTGGCACCCTTGACGTCACTTCCGGTCTCTGACGTCACTCCATTGGGCGTTTCCCATCCGCTCTGTTCTCTGGGTTCCGCGTCTCTCACTGAGCGCAGCGTTCTCGAGGTGTTAGAGCCTGGACTATTTGTTTATATCGCTGTCCTCACTGTTGGTGGCACAGAGGATTGAAAGCCGGGGCCTTCGCACCGAGCTCCATCCCCAGCCCAAGTTTGATTTTCTGACCAGTTCTGGCTAAATTGCTAGGTTACCCAAGCTGGACTCGAACTTGCAGTCCTCCTGCCTCGGCCTCCCCAGTGGGCGCCATCAGGCCCGCTGCCTCATCTGAATTGTGCCACTGTACCGCACGGGGCTCTGTGTGTGGCCGGGCAGGCCGGTTCCTTGGGCTACCCCTAAGTGTGGCAGTGCTGGGCCACGCGGTGACAGCCACCAGCCCGAGTTCCCCAGGCACCAAACCAGTCTACGTTCCTAGCAGCAGGCCAGGAAATATCCAGGGTCTGCGTTTTCACCAACACTTATTGTTTCCTTTTAAATTTATTTTTAATTTTTATTACTTTTTGTCAGTGCTGGGCTGAAACCCAGGGCCTTCCACAAGCCAGGAAAGTGGTCACCCCTCGTCTGCAGCTGAGTCCCTGGTGAGTGTAAACTACTGGCTCTTTGTGGTTCTTATTTGTACAATGTAACATTTTAAGAAATTAAAGTTTGTATGTCCAGGTGTAGTGGAGCATGCCTGTAATCCCAGCACCAGGAGGCTGAGGCAGGAGGATCGTTGCAAGTTCGAGACCAGCCTGGGCTACAAAGTGAGCCCAAGAGCAGTCTGAACTGCATAGTGAGACCTGTCTCAAAATGAAAGCCAAAAAAAAAAAAAAAAAAAAAAAAAAAAAAAGTTAAAATAAAAAAATGAAGTTAGTTTAAAAAAAAATCACAATGAACAAAACAGAAAAATTTTAAATAAAGCTGGGGGTGGTGGTGCACACCTATCCATCCCAGCACCTGGGAGGCTGAGGCAGGAGGATCACCATGAGTTCCAGGCCAGCTTGGGCTACATAAGTGAGAGCAAGGCCAACCTGCACAGCATAGTGAGACCTTAAAAAGGGGGATATAGCTCAGCGGCACAAGTACCTGCCTGGCAAGCACAAGTGTCTGATCCCCACTACCAAGAAAAAATTTAAATAACAAGACTGAGCTGGGGATAGTGGCGGCCCATGCCTATAAATCCAGCCCTCAGGAGGCTGAGGCAGGAGAATGCTTACAAGCTTGAGCCCAGCTTGGGCAATTTAGTGAGACCCCCTGTCACAAAATGAACAGAGCTGGGGATGTAGGTCAGTGGGTTAGCACCCCTATGTTCTATCCTTAGTTCTTTTTTTTTTTTTTTTTTTTGCACCAGCGCTGGAACTCATGGCCTCACACTTACCAGGCAAGTGCTTCAGCCACTGAGCTAAATCCGGGGCCCCAGAAAGAAATGTTTCTAGGGGGCGGGGCTTCCTAGGACATCTGTCTGGGGGGGGTGTGTTGATGTGTTTACATGTTAGGTCTAATATGGCTGCGCAGTGAGCAGTTAATGATGAATGTCCCAGAGGAGACACTGGACCACCACAGAGTTAAATGACATTTGCAGTTAGCATGCAGTACTCAACAGGCTCTGGGCATCCCTGGCGCCATCTTTATGGCCCGAGTGTTTTGATTGGCTCATGACATCCCAGATTCACAAATGGAATGAGTACAGTGCTTGTGATTGGCCAAAATGGTGTCACATGACAGGCCTAAATCCCAGTCTGGTCAGTATCACTTCTGATTGGGCAGTCTTGGATCATGTGACTTGCAAACACCATCGTTTGAATACTATTGGTTAAATTTAAATCACGTGACTGGGCATGACTGGGCGAGTGGGAGATTGTGTGTTCTATCCCTGGTACCCTCACCCCCAAAATCTGTGACTTTATAAAGTCTGTAAAACAGGAAATGAGTGATGACTTCTTTATTTTCAGTAAGTGAGTCCAACGCCAGCCTGCACTACATAGTTAAACCTTGCCTCCAAAAAAACAAATAGAAAAGAATGGCCTGGCTGTTAAACAATTACAAACTCAGCGTCACTGTCCCCTAGACAATGCAGGCTAAGAACCAGTTTCGCAGCATTTCTACTGCGGTAAGGATCCCCAGCCATCCAGGGGCGCTCTCGGGTCTGTGGGTGGCTGTGCACAGGTCCTGCACATACACCGCGCCGGCCTAGAGCAACCAGATCTGGGGTTCGGGGAAGAACCTGGAACCAGTTTCTGGGGGCTCAGAGGATGCCACTATTTGTGCAATGAATAACAGCTGGCAGTTTATCTTTTCCAGTACTGGGGGATCGAACCTGGGCCCTTTACACTGAGCTACATCTCCAGCCCTATTATTATTATTGGTCTTTTTGAGGCGAGGTCTCACTGTGCAGTTCCGGCTGGCCTTGAGCTCACTGTGTAGCCCAGGCTGGTCTCAAACTCTCAACGATCCTCCTGCCTCAGCCCTGAGTGCTGAGTTCTCCAGGTCTATTAATTTTGAGACTGGGTCTCCCTAAGTCACTGAGCAGCCCAGTCTAGGCTTGAACTTGAGATCATCTTGCCTCAGCTTGTCAAGGTCCTGGCCTGACCATAGGCATGCATGCATTGGGCTGGCACAACCCGGTAATGGACCCACACATTCCAGGTGATGTAGAGGGAAGCATGA